CCATCATATGTTAAGGTATATTGACATATATCGGATGTTACCAACTGATCAATAATCACGTGTTAAAACTGTATCATTCTAACGTTTAATGACGTTTGAACAACTTTTTAAATGCATAATTCAAAACTACACACACTGTGGCGCGGCGGAGGGCCTGATCGCTTGAGAAAGGATTGTCTAATTCACTAGATAAAATAATAAGCAACTACAACTTTTGTATTTCTATAAACTTGTTTTCTTTTGGAATGCATCTTATAAAACTTATTAATTAGTGTAATGTTTTTTTTGTGTCTCGGGAGAAATTGACTTTAGCATAGGTCTATGCTTCAAGTAATTGTTAACCATATATACATTTGTCTTGTTTGAATAAAATATAAACAAACTAAAAAATATTTCTTTATTGCAACCAAAACTTGAAGTTGGATTTCAAATACAAACATATATTTAACAATGTCAGAAATAATGTACACAACGTCAAGGAAACTGCACAATCTGATTCATAAATATAAATTATGAATAACAATGTGCTACAATCTAATAATAACTCATAAATGTAATATAAGCTCATGAGTACAATATTTCATAATAATAGAATGTTCAATTTTTGTTCATCGTAAATTAGACCCCCATCATTTGGCAAGGTGATGTGTTTCACAACGTTTCTAGAACACATAACCGCTTCAGGTTTATCGAGGAAGTGACTATATTGATGAAGTGGTATCTGCTTCAACGTGGAGAAAAACATAACACGACTCGGGAATCATTGTTCTAATTTTAACTCTCGCTTTCATCACCTTCGCGTTTGGATTATGGGAAAAGGATGAGTAGTTTTAAAAACTTGTGATTCATATTCCATAATTATACAAAAAAGGTGCGATGAGTGGTTTTCTAATACCGTGGAAAGTTGTTTCATACGTATCACAGTTAAATTGTTCGTTACAGTATATTCTCAATGCTGCAACTACCGTATATTATAGGGCAGGATTAATTAACCTTGATTTCGGTGCTGTTCAAATACCTTCTCAGTAAAGTCATTCATATCATGCACTGCATGCATTTATTAACGTGTGTCGACCAGGAAACTGTAGAAAGAAACTGCTGAAAGCAGCTCTGATACAAATAATGTATACACCTATGACAATTATTATATCAATATGTTAAGCATTGATTTAGAATTTAAACGTCATCTATCTTGAATGTAAAAGTGAACTTAAAATAAATGCCGACGGATTGTACAAGAATCCGTATAATCATCCTGATATTTTGAAAACTCCAGAACGTTGAACCCGAAGATAATAGATCGAATATACCTGCGCTTCATTTCACAGATTTAGAAAAAGGTAATTAGTTTTTGCTCGATCTTTGTAATACCTGGATGATGTATAATGTGAAACTACATTCCCTTGGAGCATCCACTTTGTCTGTACGTTATCAGACACAAGAGCAAACACATTCAGTGGTATCGCTTCGAGGGGGGGGGGGTTACGAGCCCCAAATCGAATGACCCCACTCCTACCCCCCCCCCCCCCCCCCAAAAAAAAAAAAAAAAAAAAAAAAAAAAAAAATGAAAGAAATGACAGGAAGGACCACTTCAAACACCCTCAAACTGATTGATGACGTTGTTAATTCGTATTTCATAAACATCGTAAAAAGATGCCCCATGATGTCACTTGCCCCTCCCCCTTATGACCGGACTCATGATACACTACAGAACTCAGTATCATTATTAATGTGGTACAGTTATTTAGTTTCATGTTTGAAGTGCGGTTTTAATTTCCCAACATTTGATACAAGGAAGCACATTATATATTGACCTGGGAATTATCTTGATGATCTGATGATGTATGGTCTGATATTTAAAAGGGAGGAGGCACAAGACGTCACTAACATTACTAATGTGACCACACTTTCATTTTATGAATTTAAATTGTAACTTCGGGTTTGAAGAAGGGAGGGGGGGGGGGTTGGTTTGTAATACCTTACATTTGCTAGATGATGATTGGCAGAATCATAAATTATTATTTACTTTTATCGCCCCCTTAAAATTAATCGTAATCTCACCTGCCTTACCGAAGTGGAGAACCAGGATGTGAAAAACGACCAAGTTAAAGAGAAGTTCGAGTTTCGGTAAAGGCGAAAAAGTTAATGTGAGCTTTGTCATGTCTTGTATTCTAGGCGTTGGAAGATTATTATTAAGCAAAGCCTTATGAAAAAAAAGTTACTCATGAATTGCCATCAGACTCGTCTACCAAAATGTAGATAATGTGTGAATTGTGAAAATCCATGATGGTTGTATCAGACAAATTATCAAGTTTAGTGAAGAAAATTCAATTCAATTCAATTAAGTTTATTCATTTCCATAAAAATCACATAACAAGAACACATACATTTGCAAAAGGTACTGTAAACAACATGCAAAATCTTTCACTAGAATATACATAATAAGTACATTAAAATATTTAACAATAATGGAAAATGGAAAGTTATAAAAACCCAAATAAATAAGTTTGTCGAGATATCTCCCCAAAAATAATTTTTAAAAATGTGATGAACATAATAAAGATTTGAAATTACATAAACTTATTTTGCCTCATTGATATTTTGATAAGAACAGATATGAATTCTCGATCTTTAATCATTTATATATTTCGTCTACAAAATAATACAGACGTCATTTAACAGTAGTTCCGAACATAAACTTGTTTCCATTAACCTTACCTTCCCTGTCTTAAGACGGGGTTTTCAACATGTTTTTTTTTTCTCTTCAAAAGTTAAATTATTACCTTTAATGTGATACGACACCTAAGGTAATGTGGTATACTTATCTGCTGTTATATATGACTAGTGACGGTCAAGTGACAATGTACCATCAGAATTTCCGTTATGGACACCTCGTTTAGGGGATACATTTCAGTATCTGTGAGATCAAAATTGAAAGCTATACCCGCAGTTTTATTATAGTTTTACAGACTTTTGTTTTCATGCTATCTTCAACACCAAAATGTAACTATACTTCCTGTTTATACCATGCATGCATGCCATTTTGAAAGATAATATCTTGAAAGTGATAAGGAAAACGCCCATGCATTCGTGCTAATGGTTTCACAAGAAGATACTTTGTAATTAAATTATATTACATTAGTCCGAATTCTTTCCCTTTTTATATATTTGTTGTATTCTTCGATCATCTATGTCTATGTACACACAGCCGTCGAGGAAGAGAATGAAAGGCAAGGACTGTCTCCGGTTTAGCGTTGAGGGTGTGTTTTTTCTCATCTCACGCGGAAACAGTCCAGCCAGTGGACTGATATGATATGCATTAATGTTCATTTAATAAAAGATTAAGGCTTAAGATTAAAGGTTTGAGGTTTGTAGAAGCCCCTCTATTTAAAATCATAGATCCACGGCTTTAATACACACAAGGTGGAGAGATAGAGGTATCACACCAAATAAGGATCTTCATAAGGAAATGAATATCATACTTTGCCTTCTGTCTTATCTAATCGTTCCAAGGGATTGATTTAGAAAATCTGCCAGGCTATAGATTAATCACCATCATTATAAACTGATTTACTGGTGTTGACTTATGATTATGTCCAACTCGTAAAAGCCGTTAAAGGCATTGATTACGATTTTTAGTAATGATGACGGGTATGCTGAATAATGGACAATGGATGATTGCCAAGGTCCAATAAATTTACACGTATAGTCCTAGACGTCCTTTATGGTGTAAATGATGTTAAGTCTGGATAATTATTGGTGGTAGAAAAAAGAATTGTCAGTTCAACCGTCGCCATATTCGTTATGTGTATTTTTTCGCGATATTGCAGGTGCGATGGTTCCATACACATTTTATCATGTTATAATGTCAAGGAGGAGAAAGTCATAATAACTTTCAATGATTTGCCAATAATGTCAAATGCCATGATGTCTAGTCAATATTAGCTTGGAGCACCTTGTTTATATGTCATGTTTGCTGTATAACCTTTTCGTTCGCTTTTCTCAATCTTCGTTTCCCTTTTCATCCTTCATCACATTATACTTGTAAATGTCAGGTGTCTTACTTGCGCCTCGATCAATACTTCAGCTTTCACTCGAACCGAAACTGTTCCGTCATAACAGGGGCGTCGCTTTAGGGAAGGACGGGGGGGGGCACCATAGTTTCAATCCCATTTTAAGTCCGGTCGGCAGAGTTGTGTAATTATATGTCAAATCTTGTCGACGAACTTCATATTTCGAGTCTCTGTATTGTCGCATGCCGACGATGTGATGTATCTTCTTAAATGTCCCTTTTCTTTCTCATGTCCCTTTTATTTTTCTTATTTATTTCTAATGTCAGCAAATTTTGTCTACCCCCTCTCCCCTCCTCTCCTCCCCCCCCCCCCCCACCAATTCAAAATGTAAACCCAACCCATTTTTAAAAATTTGTATCTCATAATGACAATGTTTAGTTTGATATGTTTAACCCTTGATGAATTAGCTCTATGAATAGCAGAATACAGTTTGATTTTGATTTAGCTAGTGGCCCATTTTGGGGAAGGGTGCGGGGCACATTCGATCCATGTCCCTCTTAAAATCCAAAGTTTCACATACCCTATAAGGCCTATAAATACTGAGTACACAATGGAAAAATGCCCCGCCCCCTACAGTAATTCCAATTTAGTTGTCCCCTTTCAACTTTTGATTACGTTTTGAAAAGCCCCTTTCAAAATAAACCTAATTAAAACAAAATCGGAGGTGTGCCCCCCCCTCCCCCGGAACAGAAATCTTGATCCGCCCCTGATTGATTTGATAGGTTAATCTAATCGGTTTCCTTTTTGTTTCCACGTATATGTCTGTATATGTACTTTTTATTCAGTTTCCTCACTACACATCGGTTCATGTACAGTGGTACTGGTGGAACTCGGACTGCATTAACCATTTCCCTCTTTTTTGTTTGGCTTAAGAATATTCATAATTATTCTTAACATTTGCAATCATTTTACCCCTTCTCATTACAGACTGGCATTGGTTATTCGCCTGGCAACACCCTGGTATCTTTCTTCTGGTCCGGATAGAAAGGACTGCGTTTAACCGCGGTAAATATCGACTTGTTTTGTGAGAAGTTGCCTTCGCAGACGACGCGAAGAGGATATATTCCCGCCAAATTACAAGGAGAGATAAAATCATTGAAGATGCCGTCAGTCAGGTTACCACATAGGACAACCCGTCTCGGGAGTGTAGTCGTTTTCTTTCTTACATTCGTCCTAGCAGTTTTCACAGTACATGCAAGTAAGTGTGAATGTTTTAACTTTTCATTTCCTTGATAGTATACCTGTACATATTGTATAAGATGTTTGGCATAAAGCCGGAAATTCGTATATTCTATCTCCAACGGCCGTTTCATTATTTTTTCTTCACTTGTCTATTTTTCGTCAACCGCCGTAGGACTATGTGTATTCCTATTTATTTTATATAAATTATATTTGTATGCATTTATGCTTCAATGATACTTGCTCCGCGGTCGATTTTCTGATGCCTTTTCGGATGTCTAATCGGATTCAACACTACACACCTAACCCCATCCTTAAAGCTAGATCTAACATAAAATCCAACAACTCCTCCTAACCCTTTTTCATCCGCAAAATAAAGCTCGTCGGTAAAATGCAAGTGTCGCTTTAGCACTAACATCTAGTATCCCCCATTTATTTCCTTTATCAGTTTACACGGCGTCATTTGCAATTTGCTTCTTGCAAATAAAATGAAGTTTGTTGGTAAATGGTAATGTTATCACTTCAACTCAAACGCACTCAGAAATTAAGCATATAACGAGGTGCACTTTCATTTTAGCACATTACAGTATTTTGTGTTTCTCTTCAAACTTCCCGATATTATAAAACAGATTATTGTACACATTGTAATTCAACCTCATACTCAATTCAATTACCTGTGAGAGCGCCGGGGACAACCCCGCTATGAAGAGTGTTCATGTTACCTTAGCGTGAATGTCTGAATGGGCGCTCGCTCTCTCTCTACAGTGTGAGTCAAAAAAAGTTTACACCTAGAAAACTGCTAATTTGTGTTAAAGTCATCTATGAACAGTATATTATTATACATCATATGAAAGAGTGTTTTATCCCAAATCTTTTGGTATCATTTTTGTGTGGTATGTGTTCACGCTTGGATGAACTGGAGGCATTGTTTGCGAGAGTGCAAATATCGACTTGCGCCAAAGTAGCTTATGTGATGTTTGAATAAAACAATTGGGATTTGGGTATTAATTCGGTCTTTGCAGATCCAAATAACATCCCTAACAAAATTAATCATGCCACACATATCAAGTATCGAATATCAAATATCAACGAACATTTCTGCGCGTGTGTGTGTGTGACTTTGCTTCTGCAAAAAGCATATGCAATGCATTTCATTTGATACATTCAATTCATTCTCTCACTCCGCTAATCCCAACATAATACATACTGTAGGCATCCCTCTGGCGCAAGTCGATTTTTGCACTCTCGCAAACATTGCCTCTTGTTCATCCAAACGTGAACACATACCACACAAAAATAATGCCAAATGATTTGGGATAAAATATTCTTTCATAAGATATATCATGATTTACTGTTCATAGATGATTTTAAAAATAATTAACAATTTTCTAGGTGTAAACTTTTTTTGACTCACACTGTATAGCTGTTCTGAAGATGGACAGCTTATGCAACTTGTTTGTTGCAAATATATGAAGTTTGATGGTAATGTTATCACTTTACCTCAAACGCACTTAGAAATTAAGCATATAACGAGGTGCACTTTCATTTTAGCACATTACAGTATTCTTGGTTTCTGTTCAAACTTCCCGATATTATATTTGTAAGCACTATAAAAAAAATTAGTGTACACATTGTAATTCGACCTCATACGTAATTCAATTAGACGCATAAACCTGTTGAGAGCGTTCTTCTCGCAGACCGGAGACAGCCCCGCTATGAAGAGTGTTCTTGTTACTTTGGCGTGAATCTCTCTCTCTCTGATGGACAGCTTATGAGTGTCGATGAAGTCAGGAAATACATGGTTTCCTTCTTACAGAGTTCCATGATTGACAGAATGAGAAGATGGTCCCCTTGACATTATTCGAGGATGATAAATAATTATGAGTGAACATTTTGAGGTCGAGTGTTGCCGCAGTGATTAAACGTGCTGAGTGGTTAGAACTGCATTGGCCTACAACGCTCTAGTGATGTTTATTAAAAACTAGAGTCTTCAAGCTCATGTTTTAATAACATTGCCGTCACACTTTGCGGAGAAGTGGCTGAATTAATTCTTAATCATTGATTGTTTAGATGTGCAAAATACTATAACAAACATTGAAAACTTACTGGAAATCACATTATATTATCTGAAAATTAAAAACTTAAACAGATTTCAGCCGCGTCCTTATGGATCACTATTTCAATTAATGTTCTTTTCTTCTCTCTTTGTTTTTTGAGTGGGGGGGGGGGCTTTGTTTTGGTATTCTTTTGTATTTGTTTTGTTTTCTATGGGTTTGGGGGTTGTTATTACATAATTATATTTTATGTTGTCTTTCAAAGCCGTTTCTGAAATAGCCTATCAGTATCATGCTTGAACCGTCAGTGCAGTCAGAAAATTTCGTTTCTTTCTATTTAGTCCATCATTCCCATGATCCCAATTTTATTATTATTATTATTATTATTATTATTATTATTTATTAGGCCAATCATAAAAGCACAATACAAATACATTTTGACAGATCATGCAATACATATGTGCAATTTTATTGGCACAAAGCAACTACAAGAGGGATACAAAGAGAAAAGAAGAGAGAGGGAAAATATGAAAGTCGTGCCCATCCTATCCTTTCAATGAAATGGTGGGGGGGGTGGGGGAACGAGCTAGGAGAGGTTTGCTTTCGTCCTAACCTTCCAAAGAGGAAAACAGTCGAATTAATAGGTGAATTCTACGAGAAAAAAGCAAGGAAGAGTCATGTAAAGAGATAGAGAGAACGGGCTAAACATCTTGCCCGTCTCATCCTTCCAAATTAAACTTGAATTTAGAGGTAATATGGTAAATCAGAGCTCGTATTACCCCCAGCAGTAATCTTAAATCGGATTAGGCGTCAGTATTACTTCCACACTCGAGGGCAGAGAGACGAAGAAAGCATGAAATATTAACTCTGCTACCGAGATTGGATGACCGTATGTACACCGCACTCCAATCACTGTTTCTTTTTTTGCTTTGCCATTTTTCTACGATGAAGTATCTGGGAAGTAACTGCAAAGCGATGAAATCGAAATTCGATACAGATTCGAATATTATTAGTGACGAAAAACAAATTTACTTAATGCTGATATTAATCTATAACAGCTGTATAATACATAATGTTTGTACATACATGTATAAATGATATAAATTATAACGGTGTTCTACTTTTGCAGAGATATTGGAGTTTTGGTACACATAACTTATTTTCAGCCATTATCTTTAGTGTTTGTGTCTCAACGAAATTCAAGCCTAAAAGTTACTGTAAAGTAGTCAGGACCTAAATAGTCTTGAACAAATTGTGATGATATAAGAGCGCCATTATATTTTGTCTAATTACATTAGGAAATGTCTAATCTAAATCGACACAATATTAGAACATGTACTTATCACGTTTGTTGCAGAGGATTTGTAAATACATCAACATTTATTTTCTTTTCATAGAAGAAGACACAAGTATATATAATTATGTTACTATTTTCTACGTAGATCGCTAAAAATCACTAAATTGGCACCCTCTCGAGTTTAGATGTTGTCGTTTTGCCGTGGTGAGGATCTATAGAGATAATGTTGATTTTTCATGGAGCAACATCAATATCCGGAAATGCCAGTGCTTCTGAACAAGGTCATAGGGGTCAAGTTACTGCCGGAAGTTCACGATCTAGTTTCAAGGATCGTCGACTAAAGATTACGGTTCAAACTGTGCTGGATATGACGCCGATTTATAGTTAAGACCAGGCGATCGATCTCATCCTGTCCTACATTTTACTTTTACCGTTGCATGGTGTGTATAGTCTGGTGTACGTGTGCGAGGGGTGCTACCCCGCCAAAAGACCCATGCAAACGCCCCCATATCTAGTATGGGTCTCTGTAATGTATGAGTTACCCTATTGGTTGTGTTGAGCCATGTAGCCTTTCACAATTCTTTATAGAAACAGCATTTAATCATGCCATTTATCCTATGACAATGAGCCTTAACGGTTGGCATTGATTACTTAAACCATGAAAACAACCTCAGATGAATTCATCGAAATATCAGAACATGACTTATTAAGTACCAATAAAGCCTAGCGGGTAAACAACTAGACGAGTACGGGATGTTGTGAACAGGAAGTGCTCTTCTTGGTCAAACATTGTTAGCGCATCAAATTGTTATAATATAGCTGCATCATGCTATGCAACACTTTTTGCCAGGTATAAATATTCAGCAAATTGATTTTGTTTTTGTGTTACCTTATGAGGAATCGCTTTCCTTTTAACGAAATGAAACGAATACTTTCTTTGAAATCAATGTGCTCATATATTTTCACTCAAGTGACAATAAAAAATCGTATCAAATTCGAAATCAATACCATTTTCAGAGAAAGGTATAACCGTATAATTATTATGTTATTCAACATTAATACACTTCCTCGTTACGTGACCATGCAAGTCATTTCCTTGTTGAAATAAAGGAAGGTTTTAATATCATTGTTGAAGATCAGTGGTTATCATGATAATCATGGATTTCATAACGAAAACAAGCATGCACATTCCGTATCAGGAAGGACATAATATTTTATAGACATATTTGTTCACAATATTTGATTTCGGTTTATGTCATTAATCGGCAAGTTCAAGGAATTTGGGCTATTTTCGGAAATAACAAATGCGATAACAAAATGATGATGAGATGGTGTATCGCTTGATTTGAATTCAAGGTTTATATATGACATATGTCATCATTGTCATGAAGGATGAATAGAAAATGAAAGGAGAATACAATCATGGGCAATGAAATATATCGCAGTTATAAATAACCACCATAATTGTCATTATGGTAATTATTCAGACAATGAGGATATACAGATAGAGAGATAAAGAGAGAGGCAGAGGAGGGAGGGGGCAGAAGAAGACAGTGGGGTTAAGAAAGAGAGAGAGAGAGAGAATTAAAGATCAGCTTGAGTTCTGGTAATGATAGAAAATAAATTCTCCCAGAATCCAACAAAACTTGCACTGAATGTTCAAGATTACCTGTGCCGAACGAACGATAAAGAAATCGACGTAAGTAGGCCCGACACCAAATACATGCAGGTCACTATGTGCAAATGAGAGTTATGGTTTTATATTGAAGATAATTGTCAGTAGATTTGTGTGAGGTTGTTCACTGGTTCAAACAATCAATCTACTGCAGGATAAACAATCCAGAATGAATTAAAGCCATGTTCTCTCGACATGCGATACCCATATTAGGGCCTCATGATTAGCTTTAAGAAGCGAAAGTAGAAATTTGCTATTTATTCTCATTTAATCGTTGACTGGTGAAAAGTGCAACCCCTGACCTAATGAGAAATTAACGGCCAGATAAAATATCTTCCTTTATAGGTCGAAAGCATGGCAATTAGCTGATCATTAGCTATAATTATAGTGACACAGGAAAATGCTTCGTTTAGAAAGACAGACCTGATTGAATAATTGTATAATTAGGTCAAATCGGATTTGAAGTTGACCTCGCCAGTGCACGTACATGTACGTGCCTATTATAATTCATATAAAATTTATACTAATGAAATATATGTTTGATATGAGTGAAATATTTAATATAAATTATTAACAATGATCATATTTAAACATGAATTCATCGACGTGTCGCATTGGTATTTAGTTGCGATGGGTATACCCATTCTACCAATTAATGAAAGATTGTTCCCTTTCATTTCTCCACCACCCCTCTCTCAGAGTCTTCCTCCGTAATCTGCCCCCCCTCCCCCTTCCCCTGTCTCTCTCTCTCTCTCTCTCTCTCTCCCTCTCTCTCTCTCGCTCTCCCTCTCTCTCGCTCTCCCTCTCTCTCTCTCTCTCTCCCTCGCTCTCTCTTCTTAAACGCTCTCTTTATTCAGTCGTCTGTTCACTCATATACTTTCCATGAGTTGCCCCTTTTCCGCTTCATGTATTTAAAGCCTCTTATGAAAATTGCTTTTCTATTTTTAATAATATATAAACATCATTTCTTTTGTTTCCCTTTCAAACAATTTCAGCCATGAGTCAACCTAGAATTTGCATTATGCCTTGGTGAATTTTGACAGAAATTGTCCTTCCATTTAATGATTCACCATACTCATTAACACGTTAAGCATCTGCCATGCCTATCTAGAAACTATCATCAGTTTCAGATGTGGAAACATTTAGCGGTTACAGACCAAACTCGACAGATGCAAATTTGAACTGTCTGTAATCAAAGTTATTCTTATCATGCTTATAGTTAGTTTGCTGGGGCATGAATTAAGTTGATATAGGCTACAGTTCTGAAGATCATTAATCAGTCTTCGATTAAAAGAAATCAAACTACCAGACCTGCTTACTGTATCACCATATCCCAACTTGAGAAAGATTAGCCTATTTTTACAGCGATGGTTTGGGTTGATGTTTAGTAGAACGTACATGTACTATTTGGGGGGTTGGTGGACTGGTAGGAAATTCGGAATTAGAAAAAGGTTGATCATCTAGCATATAAGTATTGGTGTGTACTGCAAGGTTCTGGAATCATCAAAATGATAAGAAATTTGCCAGTTTTGGTAAAGTTACAAGCACTGTACACAGAAAGATGTATATGGGACTACGCGACACGTGCGTGACACTTGCGCGATATCTATCAGGTCCAAATAGATATAATAATGTACCAAATATATCAATTAGTAGGCGGTTTCCCGGCAAAATTTGTATCATCATGTACTAGTCAAAACATATTCTTTCAAGAGCTTCCATTTCATTTTTGAAAGGGGGACGTTTCCAAAACTGGTCTTTACCTTTAAACAAACTGTACAAACAAGGAATAAGATAATCCTACTCTCTACTACAAATCAAGAAAAATAAGGAAAGAAAAGACAATTTATACACGAACCGTGCTGTGAATGGTCTCGTGGTGTAAAATGAACGATATATTATTATCATCATGATCACGTCATTCTTTGTGATCGTTCACAAATTTTCAACTGCAGTCCCACCTATAAACTCCTGCGTTTGATATCACATGCACAATCTGAACTGATCCCCTCGTGACCACCGTTAATACATGTAACGCACCAAACAGACAGTCAAAGGGAACGATAATCTATCGTCTAAACCATTATACACAGCTTGCAAAGCACTTAAATGCATTGATGACCATGAACTCGTACGAATCGACCACACGGTTTATGCTTGGACTACAGGCGAAAGGGATAATCATTGCCCGTCTACTTATACCGTTCAAATGACGGATGCTTCCAATAAAACTACAGCAATACACACAGTCAATGGTAGATTTTGTATGAATATATTATAGTAGGAAGATGTACATTGACACTGTGAGTTATATGCGAAATGAAGTGTACATAATGTTTTTCGTTTTGATAAGATTAATAATATACTTTACAGAGCCACAAACTCGATGATTATACATGTACTAATAATTTGTTGCCTCAGTATTCTTTTCAGGCATGTTTCTTTCATTTTCCAATTAATAAAATGATTTAAAAGGGTGGGGAAGGGGACGTGAAACCATTAATTGATTACAATGTGTATTATATATCAATAGTATAGGAATATCGACAGGTATTTAACAACAAAAAATTATCATCGCTCATAAGCACTCAAGATCGGATTTAAAAAAAATTGTTTATAGTTAGTATTGGGGAAGATCATATTGCTGAGAAATTGTGCATGCAGTGTCAACAAAAAATATTTAAAAAAACATCGATATAAGTAAATGGGACTACGCGAACATAAGGCAACAAAATCTGGTCCAAATATTTGAAACACGAGGATATTTGAAGAGCAATCCTATTTATGCGACATTACTACCATGATAGTTTTCCATGCATAAATTCAAATGGAAAAGAAGAAAGAAAGCTCTCAAATCATACCGTTACCAGAACTCAACCTCTTTTAAAATCCCAATTGAGGTGGGCCGCATGTATTATGTGTACGTCTTCGACGGTTTGATATATTTGTGGATAAGCACTCAATTCATAATCGGAAACTTTCACCTCTCATCGGCACACCAAATGGAAGATTCAAAAACGTGATTACATGTATAGGTCATCAATGCTGTTAACTACTATCTTCGCAGACTAATTTATGAGCTAGGAACTTCTCGAATCGATTGACCGAATAGGAAATTAAATAAAGCCACATTGGGCAAAGAGGCGAAACTCTTACGGATATATCTGAGTGATTGAATTTACAATTCGTTTGTGTAACCTAAACACTAGGCTAGAGAAAATCACGTTTTTGTCGGCTATCTTCATGACTCTTGCTATATTTTCACGATTATAAAACTTAATTGGGAAGCGCTTGTCATCAATAGTGATTTCCACCTACTATTCACATTTTAAAGTATTTTGTTTATATCATTTGTTTCTATATTTAGCAGGAAGGAAATATAAGCTAATACAAACATAAATCATGATAGCCGAAATACCTGTACTCAGAAACATGGGTATGATAAGAAAAATGGTATAGAACAAAAAATGTATGAAATACTAAAAAATGAAGTATTTCCGTGTTAGACGTGGCCACATGTATGCAAGTATACTGATGCATTCACCTGAAACCCATTTCAACAATCCTCACTCATACTCACTAAATGTTCCGGCCTTTTAAAAGATTAATGCTGTATTTATTATCATAAATCTTTCCAATTTATGTTTCTACACGGAAGCGTACAAATTTACTCTACAGACAGGAACATTTAGTAATAAGCTTTAATGTAATGCCTACATGAAGTTGAATGTTTGATTTAAAACTGTCCGTGATGTGGTAATTCTGGATTTTGTGGTTTTTCTTTTCCCTTGTTTAAACTAATATGCCTCCTTATTCCCCTTTTTCATTTTCCACTCCATTTTTTTTCTGTTTGGTTGTAGTTAAATATAATAATCAGTGTTAGACTTTCTGTTATAGAAGAAAATATGAATACAGTGAATTTAAATCTATGAAGAAAATGCTATTTAAACATAAATGTTATGTTATTACCATATTCGAATGATTTGAAACTTCGCCCATCGTGACCTTAAAGATAAACTCAAGTACTGGTAAAAAAAAAAAAAATTCTCACAGAATCAAACAAAACTTACACTGAATGTTCAAGATTACAAATAAATGACATGTGCCAAACAATTTTGGAAGAAAATGTATACTGGCTGAGTAATGAGCATAGAAAGACAAGGAATCAAGGTAGTACTAGCCCCGACACCATGTGTGTTGTCCCATATATAGCTTTCTATGTGAGTGCTTGTTACTTTACCAAGACTCGGTCAAATTTATTATGATTTTGATGACTCCAGAACCTTGCCGTGCACACCAATACTTACATGCTACATGATCAACTGTTTCTGATCCTTTCCACACCTTTTCTTTCACAATGCAATCGCATTACCAGTACTAAAGTTTATCTTTAAACGAATAGGTTGTGTTTGCACATTCATAACATCGATTCGTAACTTTGTTTTGTCTTTACTCTCCTCCTAGATGAAGAGCTCAGCTCGATCTGTCAAGGGGCACAGAACTGTGGAGAATGTATATCTGTTAATCCAGAGTGTACATGGTGTAAGGAAGATGTAAGTTATATTATTATTATTATTATCATGATTGCATTATTAGTATAGTAGTACATGTAGTTGTAGAAGCAGTAGTAGTAGTAGTAGTAGTAGTAGTAGTAGTAGTAGTAGTAGTAGTAGTAGGAGAGTAGTAGTATAAGTAAGTAGTATTGTTATTAATATCATTATTGTTATTATTATTGTTGTTGATATGGTTGATGTTGCTGCTGCTCTAGTTCTTATTTGTTATTGTTAGTTTTATTTATAATTTGTTTACTTAAGGACTACGATTTTGAATGGAAGGATAAGAATGATAATTAACGCGGAAGTATTTAGTTCTGAAAGAGGAAAGAAAGCACATTCAACATTGCTCTTTACAATAATCATGCCTCATAATGATAGTTAATAACATGTGACCAGAAACCCGTATATATCTGCAATTAGTATCCTCCTAGACACTAATCTGTTATCTACTCCAAACACGTCTGTAGATTTCAATCAATACCCTTGCTAATGGCCTTTCGCTGGTAGCAAGCAGAACATCAAAACCGTCTCATTCCCAGCTGTTTGATGGTGAAGATATTCGCGATAACACATCACGAGGGAGCGGATGACTTTAAAGTGTACCCATCACCATATATATTGTTACCCTGTATGTTAGGAGTTTCATACATCTATACTATACTCAAAATATGATTCTATAAAGAGATAGGCTATTGCGAGGTTATTAAATACATCCTTAGATTGCATAACATCGTCTTGTGATTAGACTACTTGACGCACCCGTACGCGCTCGCCTAGATTAGGGACTTTTAGATTTGCGTGGACTGATACGTGTGACGTCCGTTCAAGGCAGAGCGTTAAATGGACGTCGATCGTAGCAATCCACGTTGTCGTTGTGCAAATCTAAAAGTCCCTAATAATGAACTCAAGTTAGACTTGGGTTCCGGTTTATGTTATCCTTTACTTTATCCATACTCTTTTACCGTTAGCCAATATATTGCCTGGTAAAGTTTTCTGACATTGATTTTATACATTTAACTGTTCATGATTTATTTATTTCAAGTGATTGGTACACTTTAGAAGCAGAAAAAAAAATCGTCTTCTACGCACACGTAATTCATATCAACGTCGACACAGTGAATGGCGATTTAATGTAGCTCAACAAGGAGGGAACTTTTTAGGCACTTTGACATTTTTGTGAGAAATAAAAATTCACGAATACCTGATGATAACAAATGGGAGCTGATACCGATGGCCTCTCCCTTGTAATGTTACCCGTGACATTTCAAAATTGGGTAAGTCCTGCGCTATCGGCCGACTATTAAGGCAGGAGGAGAGATAAAGTGGCGGGAAACACATGACTTCGGGAGTGGGGGATGATAAGACTTTGTTATCGGTTATCGAAGCAGCTGTTGACGAGGTCTGAGAACAGAGAGTTTAAATACTGTCTGAAAAAAAGACATTTCTCTTCTCCCACTCCTCCTCCTCCCTCTCCCTCTCCTCCTCCTCTTCCTCATTCCCCCCCCCCCCCGCTATACCTTTATTTTCCCCATTTCTGTATGTCTTAGCGTTTAGTTCAAAGCATTTAAAAATACTCTGAGAAAAATGAGCAATGTACTCCTTTCTCTCCCTCGCCTTCTCCTTCCCACCTCCTCTCCGATCACTTTCATCGATCGTTCTTTGCGTCCAGTTTCTCCTTCTTTTTCTCATCCCTCTTTTGTTCCCTCTTTTGTTCCCATATTTGTCCCCACCTCGTCTTTCACTGTCCCCTTTGCCTTCCTTTCCGCCTTCTCTATTTTCTCTTTCATTTTTCTCGTCGACCATTTCATCCATCTGTCCGTCTAAATATAAACATCCTTACCTTCTTATACCTACCTTTCCTTTCAGAGTTATCCTCCCTCATCTTCTCATCCATCCATCATTCATCTTTTCTTTCAACCATCTCCTCTGCCTTCGCTTGTTCCTCTCCCATGAGAGGATAAATCCCACCTTACCGCCTCATCTGCTCTCCGTACCCCAAGGTGAACGAACGGGCAATCGAGTCCTCAGAACGACGTCCTCATCCCATCCAATTTCTATTTGCCGAGCATCATGAAATTCTAAGCAGACAAAACATTTGGCCAACGTCCTCACAACCGTCAAGAGCAAGACGATCGAGGCGCGCTCCTATGGCTAGCATTGAATGCCATAAAGATCAAACCAACTGAACGATTGATTGTTGAAAACACGATCGCAAGAATATCGGTAAACCAACCTAGGCAGGCCTTGGCCGTACCTACTGAATGTGCGAACAGTGCAATGACGTATTACGAAATACGAATATGATTTCTGTGGCATTTACCATATGATATTGAAATTGCCCTAAAAGTTTTCTCAGACGTGTTCGCGATATTGTTTAATTCTTGATTAAGAACAGATTACTCTTTTTGGTCGGAGACAGTTTTTATCAATCAGAAATCGAAAATAATCCACCAATCGATCGAACCATTTAGCCCAAAAATTAGATATTAAGGAAATTGAAGTATCGGAGTTGCTTTATATGTATATGAAAATCATGTAAAGATGTCTATAATGTTTTGTATTGTGCGATAGATGAATAGCTCATTGTCACTCTCTTAAAAATCTAAAAATCAAATTGATCCGAAAGTAACAAACTGAGTGATCTTTCTTTTTATGTTCTACCACATATGTCCACATTCACATAAAAAAGACTAACATCAGACATACCTTAGAGCAAACAATAAGTAACATTACTTCATGGGCCAGACTTGTTCGGACTGGACTCGGTCTGGAGCCGATCTGATTGAGATATAAGATTGATCGAAAAAGATCGATCTTTTGGGGTTCAATCTTTATGGCATTGGGTGCCAGTCATACGCTCCATCTCAAACGTGAACTTCCATTATGGATCCGCGTTGTGGAAAATGAGCCCTGTGATATCCTGGGACCTTCAAAGTGTTGAGTTTGTTTAATATGCACGGTCACGAACCCTCATTTTCAATTCCTTGCCTCCTGAAGCTTCTCCTGGTAAGAGCTCTTGAATGAAGATGGATGATTTCCATAGTTGTCTTCCATTTTCCATTGCAAATCGAATCAAATACGTCCCTTTCGCCTCATGGGAAATGAATTTATCATTAAACATTCAGCCATTGTTCCTTTTAAACTGTTTAAACATACGAGGAGAAGTAATCACATTTAAATGTCAAGTTTATACACTGAAATAAGAGAGAGATAACTCGAATGTACCAATATTATTATATCTGTCAAAAACAAAGTGATAACTCTGACTCTTTACAGAAATCTGAAGGCTAACAGTCATAGCCAGCAAGTTGTGACTGATTTAGCTATGTCTGTTTGATTCGTTTTCTCTGCAATGTTAAGAACAATTAAAGAAGTACCAGTGTACAAACTGTACATTTTATACATAACAAAAGAATACATATTTTTTTTAAATTTTAAATTAAGCAAAATGATAGCAATTGGGAAGATTGTAAAAGTAAGATTGTGGACAGCATGACCATGGTGACTTTACCTTTATAATATACATAAAAAGAACATCAAGGAAATTCTGTAATGGGATTGTGCAAGGCAACGATTTCTTGCCCCCCCCCCCCCCCCTCTCCACAGGGTTAGGGTCCTTCATGCGAATTATAATAATGTAGATTTATGATGTAACAGTTGATGAAATACTAAGAATTTGGTGACACTTTTACCACAGAAAGAAGATGTGCTTGGCACGAATGATCAATCTTGAACACAGCTGTCGCTAGCGGGAATTACGGAAATCTTGGAAAATGGATGAGGGAAATTGTTATTTGCTACTTACTGCAGGCAAAGCCGTGAATATTTGTTCTCTTGTTCCACTTCTTTACCAAATCCCCGTGATAGTTTCCATGGAAACCCAGTGTCCCCGAAAGACTTCCGTGCAACCGAGACATGATGACTCAACTCACATTGCAACATTTTAGTTAGAAACTCTTCACCGTCTCTTAACACATTGAGTCCTTGAACAGGGTGGCTCATGTATTAAGTCTATGGGAATCAAACAATTCAGCAGTCAACGGGTTAACAAAGAGATGGAAAACACTCCAACGTCTTCTTACCAGAACACAACATATATGTTACATGTCTGTATAAAGAGAAACAACATAAATTCATTACCCTACAGACGACATCCTTGACTATAAACAGCTGGCTATGATCATTCAGAGGATATTTGGAACACATTTGGATCATTTTGTTCTACATGCCGAAGCCGAATTTTGTAGGAGAAGACAGAATAAAGGGTGAAATAAGTAATTTTAATTTTGATACGGTGTAGAGGCATTTTACAGCTATAGAGATACGACCATATGTGTATGTTTCTGTCCGGTAATATTCATGGTTACTGAAAGAGAGTTAGGCGTTGATTGATGAGTCTTGTGATGGGGAATTAGTTTAGGAATGACAGTTCAACGAAACCTCGTTAGTAGGGAGTTTCGTTCTATTCACGGGGATACAATCAATTTCGAATATTATGTGAGATTAATAGAGCTTAGGAGATACGCAATTGTCTCGCATCCAGATGCAACGAGAATTATGTTACCATAGCAACGGATGATGCTGGAAATCTTTTATTCACGGTCGAACTACGGAGAAAAACAGGAATGCCATTTTACGGATCTACAATAAAGGTCGATTAAGAATAGTGGAATTATTTACCGGGAGGCTGCAGACGACGTTGCCTCTCTCTTTTGTAAAGATTTTCGAGAGGGAAAGAGGGATTTTTGTCATCGATTTTTGCATGCTTTGGCAGGTGGTCCGCTCAAGCAGCAATTTCCTTCGAATCTGCCCCTCTCGAAGGAGAATAGTTCGTGCATGGTAGATATAGAGCGCTGAGCCCATTCCATTCGTGACGTCTTTGGTCAAAATATTCACCAGTACATGCTGTTTAACAAAATACGAACATTTAACACCGACAAATATCTTGTATTAGTGTAAAAATATGTCGTATTGAGAATGAAAATAAGAGATTGGGGTTTTCATTTTGGGGATCATTAATACCCTCTAAATGTGCAGGATTCGATATTTCATATTAAGGATCACTTCACTTTAGAATGGAAGTCCGCACTTAATATGTGGAATCCACTTTCTGAAAAATAATTCACACCACTCTGGAGTAAATTTCACTCCTATTAAAGCGGATTCAACTCCTGAAAGAAGTGATCCGTTATATGATTCCTAAAAGAGTGCATTGTACACTTCCTTGCCTTAGGAGACTACAGAATAACACAAAGGGAGAGCATTACCATAAAGAGGATGTAAGGAATCACATCAAGTTCTTTTCACATTCGCCGTTTTTTATTTTTATGTTTATCCATCATTCCCCTTTTCCTCTGACATTCTGCCAGCTAGTTTTCACTTTGAGTTTGATAATGTACTTTGATTCAGCTAACGGGGATTGACATATCTGGCTTCAGTCTTTGTTGTGTCGCCTCCTGGGATCTTCCCTTCATTGTCTTCTTACCCCTCCCCTCCCTAAAGACCTGCCAAAAGGTATCATGTTCGAGACACTTGAGACAGTAGAAAATGTAATGTTGAAAACATGAGAAGAAGACAAATAAACATGAAAATGTTGATTTTGAAAATGAGGGGGATTCAAAAATTAAATAGCGCAGATATGTGAGTAGGACACGAGGGGTATAGGAGACAAAAATAGGTAACAAAGCTAAGTGGTACATTATGCTATCATGACATTTGATGGAAAAGAAAAATTGGAAATGATTGAACAAAGAGAAAGAGAAAAAACTTAAGAAAGTCACATAATATTTTTGTATTCATGCCATAATTTTAGGGAACCGTCATCTCTTGCATTGCCGGCGTCACATATGTGACGATTATACATTGCTCCAGCATGCAATATATTTAACGGGGGCCAATTTGTATCAATGTCTAGAGCGATGATCAAGCATTCTAGATGTTTAAGAATTGCAATAATTGTGCTAAAAAGACGTTATCAAAATAGCAATAGTAGCAGAAGCAGATATAGACGTAGTAACTAAATAAGTAATAAATGTATAAATAATAGATGTAAAAGTAGTACATTTAGAAGCAATAGACGTAGAAGCAGTAGATTTAGAAGTATTAGATGACACAGTAATAGATGTAGAAGTAGTAGATATAGAGTTAGTAGATGTAGAAGTAGTAGATATAGAAGTAGTATATAGTAGTAGCAGTAGTAGTTGCGATAATCATGTAGAAAAATAGTAGAGGTCTTAGTAGTAGCAGTAATAGTTAATGCAGTTGTGGTGATGGTGGTAGTAGAAGTAGAAGTAGTAAAAGCAGCAGCAACAGTACAAGTAGTATTTAGTAGAAATAGACGTAGAATATTATAGAACAATGTTAATACACTGTGGTAACCGCGCAACAAAAACATTCAAATACAAACCAGGAACAACTCCAAGATAGACCCCATCCTTTGGATGTCATTTCAAACTTCAACTGTCGTTAGAAAGTACCAAATGAAGCAGGCTGCAGCATAATTTACCACATTGTCATATGCAAGTTCACCATGGGGTGAAGTAGTTGATACGAGAAGGCCTTTGCAGTCGAGTCAATCTTGCAAGTTCGGCGTTAGCGATGTAACCTCTCTCTCTCTCACAGGCGTTGCGGTCGGGTGTGTTTGTTCGCGGTTATTTCGTTGGATGTTTTTTCTCGCGCTTTCGAGCAAACCACCTTTTCGAAGCTGTCAAACTGTATGGCGATTCTTTTTCTCTATAGTCTCTAAGATCTTAGATTGGTTGTTGGGGTGAGCAAGAAAAAAGAAAAAGGGGAATAATGAAAGACAGAAGAAGGAAGAGAGAGGGAGAAAGAGAGAGAAGTAAAGAAATAGAAAGTGGGAGAGAGAGAGAAAAGAGGGGAACGTTCTGTTTTCGTAGACAAGAGCAGTAGTATTCATCAAGGCCAAATAAAAGTCGCAACATTTACCCAACCCTATCCAGAAATTATATTGATAACATGTAATCATTGATTTCTACCCAATTTCATTATTTGGATTGTTAGGATGATGATCGATGATGATCATGATAATAATAATGATGATGTTGTAACAGTCACGTATGATGTTCTTAACCATTTTCTTCTTCCAGGTATTCGAGGGGCGAAGATGCGATCTTGAGATCCTCTTGCAAGAAGCTGGATGCGGCAACATCACCAATCCTCTTCCGTCTGTCGTACCCACAGAAGTAAGTGACACCCCAGCACACAGGGCATGCTCACTGCTTTTGTTTCTTTTTACCCAGGTGCAGCTGTGCGTACACATAACAATGTAGGGAACTTTATCATGCCCCTTGTCCATTGAACACGAGGCGTCATTTCGATTGCGCTATTACCTCCACCATTCGCACCTGTTACGGCGATTAGCCCAAACGCCAATTTTGTTAAAGGATTGTTTGCATTTTGTACTCCCTTTCGTAATTATATATCTCTTATATGAAGTGCGAAAGGCCGCACATAGACACTGACGCATCACTACGTCAGGACAAATAACGCCTCGTGTTCAGCGGGCTCACTGAACTTTACCACCGACGTAAGAGGAGATGCGGCTTATCCATAGTGTGTATGGTGCATATTGGGACGAACTCGGCAATTATGGTCAAACTAGGGATGTTTATAAAAAGGCGATTAGCGTCTTATGTGAGATAAAACCGGTACAATGTTACCCTAAAAATTCGCTGATCCCGTAGTGCCAGAATGATCGATTGCTCAACGTTTCGGGAGCGTGCAACGTAGGGGAATGGTTTTAAGCTAAGTGATGGATCGGTCCTGCCGGATTTAGTGTCCGACCCATGAAGAAGCTCAGGTGCTTTGCCATTAACGGAGACCAAGAGAAATAAATGTAGTCCACGGAGAACGTGCCCGACGTATATCTTGTCCGTTTGTGTACTGGTCATGCGATTACATTGTGAAAGAAATTGTTCTGGAAGCTATTGGGAATACTTGTAGGACCTGAGAATCGGTGTATAGTTTTTTAATGATCAAAATGGAAAAAAAAGTGATTCAGCTTTCTTGATAACCATATATACACTGCACAAACGAAAATTGAACAAAACTAAAAATCCATGAAAGTTTGGTTCAAACTTTTCAGATTTTTCCTCGCCATCTAGGCCATTTGAAGAGCAATCCCGTTCGGGGGACATCGCTATGATATTCTTACAAGTTAACATTAATACAAAATAGTAAAGCTCATACCTTATTTGTCATCTTGACTAGAACCCAACCCTCTGATTTAACCAGGTGGTCGTGCATGTCTACAGGCCTTCCTACTATTGTGTTCAAACGTTAATTCACAATCAACATAGATATCCCAACTGTCAATATAATTTTAAACATATCCACATTATGACGCTTTGGATAAAATGTAAGTTTTTCCTTATCGCTAATGTTGTAATTGGTCGACCACTATTGCTTTCTATTTTTCCAGAACGAAACTTACAATCAATTATAAAGAATTCTTTAAAAGCATTAACAAGATTAGTCAAACATCTAATTTTAAAATTTGTGTAGAATATTTGATTGATCGTCTCAAAGGAAATCTGTATTAACTTGATTGAATTTTTTCAAACTTGTTGCCACGTTTCCACTATTCCGACTATAAGCAAACCAAATGTTCGTTTATGTAGTTAATGTAAGGAAAATTCACTTTTAAATTGCGGAAATAAAGAATGAGAAGACTTTTTAAGAGAAACCCAACCCCTCATTTATTCATCCTAGTACGTAAACGGTCACGCAAGCCTTACCGACAACAACTCGACGAAACGACAGGGGACAACATTTAAATAGTATGCCAGGGAGTTGGGAAACAGCGCGAAATGTATACAGCGGTGATACATTTTCTTTATTCGACGCGTACTTAAGTATCCGAGAAAGAGGGTGAGGAGGATGGAGAGGAGGAGGGGGAGAGGGATGGTCGGTGTCGACGATGTCAAGTGGGGGAATGGATGACATTGGTGATGGAGGGCGTCATCGACTTCGTTTCTTGAAAGTTTATGTTGACTGTCCGGTGAAGTCTTGTTTCGTCCATACCCAGACACCTGGTAGGAATTTATTCCTTGAAATGCTAGAGCACCGTATGGCAGCCGTGCTAAAGCCAGGGTAATAATCGGGAGCGCCAGGAGGGTCAAATCTGACTGACATGAGCGCTATACAAGAACCCACTATTATTATTATTATTACTATTATTATTATTAAACTCCTGCACACTAGAGTGCGTAGGATGCAGGGTGCATGAGGTTTAGTTTGTGGCCCATGACATTTTTGCTTCGGTTTAAGTTGAAATTATTATTGATTTTATTCCAATAAGGGAGTTTACAGATAGCACATGGTACAAATGACCCCAAATATCCACAGATCTTTTACACATGGAGAAGTTTCACTTTGAGCATCTTAGAATAATAACTGCCAAAGTCCTAGATGTGCTTCATAAATACCTTTTATTTGACCTCTTGAAAAGAATACTTCTACCTGCGTATCATAGAATGTTCCGTTGGCGCATAAATGAATAATGTTACATAACTTTCATGAGCGCTTATCCAGTATTCATCTCTGTAGGTTTTACCAGTTTGGTACAAATGACCTTTATCTGCCCATGCGCAGATTGTATCTGTAAACTCCCTAATATAGCAAGACAACAAGCAAGACTTGAAAAACGTCCGTCTGAAGTCATTACAGTAGACCAGTTCGTAGTTAGCTTTGGTACAAATGACCCCCAAATATCCACGAATCTTTTAAACATGGAGAAGTCCCCCTTAGAGCATTTTAGAATAATCACTGCCAAACTTATGGAAGTGCTTCGTATGAACACTTTTTGTTTGCCATCTTGAGGAGAGGAACGTGGATAAATTAATTATGATTACATAACTGTCATTCATGAGCACGCACGGTAGTTTGTACAATTTTGGTTTAATTGACCTTTATCTGACCATGCACATAATTATAGACTGTATCTTCGAACTGGCTTATTGCCTTGTGCGACACCCGTTGTAAGTGCGAAAATGACAGATTTGACAATGAAATAATAGACTAAGATTTTTATCCTCCTGTAATTCCCCAATTATATGATTAGTAGTGACAAGGGCACTTGGAGTTCATTAATAAGCAGATCTCGAAAATTATATTAGCACGACACGTTTCTAAAAAAATCAAAAAAATCTACCCACGTTATGTGCCTTGAACATGTCGACAGTATAAGCAGCTGGTAGAAATTCTAGTTTTTTAATCAAAATAATGAAAGAGAAGTAGTCGTAAAGCATGAATCACAATTAATTTGGTAGTGAATCATGTAATGTATTATGCAAAGTTTGCAATCGTGCAGTTGTCTTGTCTTCACGTCCACGTCCACAAATCGGCACGTGGGTTATTGTAATTTGAAAATGCCTTGCGGTAAACATAGTTGACCAGACAATGTATATATACATGATGAATAGTCTGCTCAGCAAATTGATGACGTATTGTGAATCATTGTAAGGAGACAGTAGCAGGAATGGCCGGTAGTCTTATCTTTTTCCAAGATTTTTCCAGAAACTCATCGCTTGTAGACTGAATGCTATCTACAGTATAACAATATTACATTCGATTGGACACTTCAGATTGGACATTTTCCACCCATCAGCATAAAAAAGCTTATCTGTTAAATGACAATGGATACATTCAACTGCTTCCATTTCCTCTGTGTATGTGTTGACCTTTCATTCGAGGACCGTCCCCACTTCCATCGCTATTTCGAATGTGTGTCCCTACGAGCTATGCGCAACCCCTGTACACCCGTTGGTATATATATTTTGTATTCGTTACAAATTCATGTGCGCACTGTGGATCGCATGCGCGAACAGAATGGCGCCAATTTCTGGACTTGAGTTGAGCATGCAACAAGCATTCTGCACCGTCTGTTTATACGGCTTTCTCTCATCGTGCTTTCCCCCATCAATTGTTCCACGCAGTCTCCCGTTGCCATGGAGACCATATTCTCTGATGCATTCAGCCTTGTGTGCAAGAGTATGCCATCGTTTCCATTTCTTTTGTTTTCGTCACGTAGGGCAAAGCCTGTCTTTTCGTACTGCTCTTTTGATACGTAACGTTATAATGACATACAGTTTTGCAAATTCATTATTTATCACAGAGTTATAGAATAAAAACTAAGCTGAGTCATAATTACAAGCTGATATGCACATCCGTTCTACGTTCCCACTGAAACGAAAATGCATTTTAAATACAACCGTTCCCCAAATGTGTGATTTACTTACAAGATTTCATTGTTTATTTCGAAATGAAAGCAGATAAATGAATGAATAGAGTATCCATTTTTTCGTTAATATAATAAATCAAAGATATTTCTCCCCAAGTGTGTGCTATGGTAATAGCATCACATAAAAGCCTATTGATCATCATTTTAAAGAGACATAGAGGGAGAAGGAGAGAGAGAGGGGGGGGGGTGGGAAAGAGACCGAGAGAGAAAGATAGAAAGGAAAGAAGGGAAGAGAGAACCAGTGAGAGCGAAGATGACCCACTTTGAAACAGCGTGAGGAAGATTGGTCAAAATGAGTAATTGTTGGGAAAACGTGATGAAAGGACAAGCTTCACCATTCCCCTCACGGAGGCGGAGGTGAGTCAAACATTGTTGGTACAGGGGTAACAGCTCTATATATTGAACAAAATGGGGTTGGAAACTTGGAATGATCAATAAAAGAGCGACCATCAGCTATTTGTGATGAATCGAGATATAAGAGGGTTTGAGCAATGGGTCCATGGTTTGAATCACACTGAAGTGCGTGTTGGTCATTTGTTTCGATGTCCTTACTTCACCGTTCCGTTTTTCTTATTTGAAAATAAAATGTAGAGAGAGAGAGAAAGAGAGAAGTTGGAAAAAAGTGGTGGGGTGGGATAGATAACAAGTTTGCCTAAAGGGGGCACACATGTGAGTAATTCTTCCAAACGAGAATATTTCACCTCGTGAAATAGATTTTACCATGTCACCCATAACCTTTACATATTTGTGTACTATTTTTAATACCAATTAGTACCAATCCTATAAGTTTCTCCAAGAGACCATCGATGCGAGCGTTCACGTGACAAAATAATAGAGAAAGATTCGTTTAATAGAATACTTGAATTATTATACTTCATGACCATCTTACTAATGACCATGAAATAGTTGTAGACTGATTCGGGTTTTTTTTTCTTCCAATAGGACAAACCGCTGAGTGAGGCCAATGCTGATCTGGATGCAATCGTTCAAGTCAAGCCTCAGATGATGAGGATCAAAGTACGACCGAGTAAGTACAATTTGCAATTTTCGTCATGTAATGAAAATGAATGCAAAAATCTTTAAGTATACCATGTTACAAATTATTGGAGTTTGAGTTTTTTTCTTTTATTTCACATGAAAAACAACAACAGTGTAATTTATAATAAGGTAGAAGTGTAATAATTAAAAAGCAAAGTATACAGACAATACAGACAACATTCACCTGTTACGAATAGTCAGAATTTTATTTGCATACATCTCGTATTGTTAGGTGGGGCAAGCTAAAATGTTTGTCCTATACCTAGCTGGCTAGCAACCACTAATTTATCCAATTTGCATTCTGACTATTGAAATACATTTATTCGTAACAGGTGAATGAAATCATTTTTAATGAGGCACTTAACAAAGACTTATGCATTAGCTTAGAACGCGATCTCATAGACTTTCAAAAAGTGTCCGCAAATTTATATAGTTGTATGTCCGTACGTACGAATGTTAGTAGCGAGAGGGGGGGGGGGGGGGGGTAAGCAATATGTACGAGATGAAAAATTTCAAGCATATACTATTAAATGCATCTCAATTATGTGAGCCTAATCGTTCCAAATCTACAATTTTACCCCTTCCACACTAGTTAACACATTTATCAGTACACAAATGCCAGGTGAGTTTCCTATTTGATGTAGGGATGTTAATTTCATTGCTGCAATTTTCGTTCCAACTTTGCCAAGTGGACGTCGAACCTCTCAATGCGATGTCGTGCTTGTTTGCAGATCATGCTGGCAGGATAAAAAGTGGCGGGAACCCAATTATTGAACGTGGTCACTTCTGTTTGCTCAGAGTCCACAAGAAGGCGGGAACTTGCACTTTCGACCGACATGTAGCGAATTTTTAAACCGTTGCGTAGAATCGATAACAATCCGCATGAAGTTGATGTACCTGCATGGGTCGCATTTACGGCTGTGTAATATCATGTTAAAGGTTGAAAATACCCTGTCCTTTAAACAAGTTTCCCTTGCAATCGAATGGCAAGAGTATTTAAAAAGATGAAAAAGTAGAGGTCTGGAGGGAGAAGGAGGAGGAGCAGAAGAAGGAGAGGAGAGGGGCAAAGTGTAAATGAGATTAGTAAACCCCTTCCCACACCCTCTTTTGCTCTCTCACCCTCTTTTGCTCTCTCACCCTCTTTTGCTCTCTCACACCCTCTTTTTCTCTCTCACATATCATCCACCTAATATCACCCCCCCCCCACCCGACACCATACATGCAACATACCTACATTTGTTTTTATATAGCGCAAAATACCAACAAAAAATGCTAATGCGGCTTACTTGAAAAATTGATACTTATGTCGGTTTCTTTTTTGTGTGTTGGTTTGTTTGTTTTCGGCAGTTAGATATATATCAATAATTATGTATACTTTCGTTTTCATGTTTCAGGGGAGCCAATCAACATAAAGTTGTACGTGCGCCAAGCCGAAGACTACCCTGTCGATCTCTACTACGCTATGGATCTCAGTCACTCCATGAAAGACGATCTGGAAAACCTCAAGGGTCTCGGAACAACCTTATGTAAGTCAGAGCATCGTTTCGCGAAACCGTCAGAAGCAGGGACATTAATTTAATATGAGAGTTTAACCGAGCCAGTTCGAATCGAGCACAATCTTTTTTAATGGCGAATACTGCTCTGTTGAGTAAAGACAAATCAAATGAATATGTGCCATGTTGTAAGCAACCGAAGCCAAGTTCGCCAAAATCTGTGTATATAGATGGCTTTGGTCATCAGTATAAATTTGCCGGGTTGTACAACACTGGTTCCTTCGACAGTTATTGCTCCATGTCAGCTTCCTATATACTAACCGAATTCCTATAATCTTACCACAAGACCCAGCCCTATACCTTACACTAACCTTAATCCTGAACCGTACCTAAAGCCTAATTGCAAACCGTCCTAGTGTCATACTTTTGATGGAGAAAGCCTAAAAACAATCGTCACAGGAGCTTATCCCCTGGAAAATAATACATTCATAATTTCAAAGTACACTTTCTTAAAAGATTGTTTGGAACAAACGGTTAATAAAGCTCTTCAAATAACAGCGCTGTCTTTCAATCAAAACTCCAACGATTTGTTAAACATTGCGTTTACGTACTTTCTCAATAATTATTGTCAACCTTCTTTCTTTTCAATACAGCGGAAGAGTTGAATAGCATAACCCGGGACTTCCGGCTTGGGTTTGGCTCATTTGTGGATAAGACAGTTCTACCTTACGTAAGCACTGTTCCCGCCAAGTAAGTATATATCACAGAAAATGTTTCAAATTTGGGCGGAATGTGTTAGCGGTATTTTATTCATTTTTTGTTGTTGAATAAATATTGATGTATAAAAACTGACCAGCAGCACAAGCTCAGAGGGTCAGTCAATATAGAAGAAATACAATATGACAAAGGCATTTAACATGATGATACAAACATCAAGAGGAAACAAAATATAAAGTTAAAGAATGATAAATTACCTCAAATTATTTCAAATAAGGGTGAAAGTACAGATATAGAAAATGAGAAGGGGGACAGGAGATAGATAGAGAGAGGGAGGGGGAGAGAGAGAGAAAAAATAGATAGATAGACAGATTGACGAAATAAATAGACAGAGAGATAGAGAGAGAGAGATTCAAGATGAACTCAAGTGTGTGAACATGATAATGTATATATTGGTGATCATCAGGATAATGGTGTTGGCTCCAAGGGATCATTACATTGCGTCATTGCATACTCTAATTGGGCCTATGAAGGCAAACAACTCCTACGCCAGTAATTCAATGCATTTTAAACAGTCCATTTCGCGCGTCAACCACCACGCCTCATTTATGCTGACGGAGTCCTGCGTCAGCAAAGCGACCCCTCGTGTGCAACACGCTTTACAGAATGTTTATTAATGTGCGAAGAATGATGAGTCAAACCCATATATTCCTGAATTCAATGTGCCCTGCGCTGCCCTGAACAAGGAAACAACACATGGTGCTGTTCATCTAATGGACATAAGCTAGGCATCGTAAAAAAGAAGGAAAAAGAAGAGCACAAACAGTCGTCCATGTACCCTCATATTTTGATGAGAAGGGTTCGGGTTTCCGGTAAAGATGCAGAATCTGATATATACTTCTGAGTCTCAAGTTAGGGGTTCATGACTGTGAATTGTTAGATTGTAAAGTTTAACGTGATATCCGCCTATGTTCATGGTCTACAAATACAGACAGTTCAGAAATAATCATACCATGATATTAATATCATAAACGAATCTGTCTAGGCCTAAATTTTGAAAGGCTGATTATGTACAGTAGTACATAATACATTGTGTATGTGACAATGTTTTGAGATTATCAAAATGATTGAAATTGACTCAACCTTGCTCACTGGAAATCACTCAAAGTCAGTGACTCTGCCTATATCTCCTCTCTTGCTTTCTTCATTTCTTTCTCTCTTACCTTTCCCCTCTTTCTTCTCTTTCTCAAAAGCTAAATACCAAGATTATTTTCTTTCTTCTCAGACTGATTTCGCCATGCACAGGATGCGCTAGTCCACACGGATTCCACAATGCACTACCTCTAAATCAAGATCCATCGCTCTTTGCTGTAAGTTATTACTCTTCTTATGTTCATACGGGTTTTTTAATCTCATTCTGGTGTTCGTACCTAACAGAGAGACCTTTTTACGTTGAAAGGCGCTGCTTTTGCATTATTGTACGATACCATTTGCTGTGTCAAACTTTAATTGGTAATTGAATATTATCTGCTTTGACCAACTTTTTTATATAATATTGGACAAAATGGCGTCCCGGAGGTTGATTCAGAAGGCGGACGTTTGTTGTAATACGGGACGTTCCCATACAATACCAGAGGTTATCTTGCTTATCAGGCTCCTCTGTATCTCTCTCGAGTAACAAATCCGTACCTACTATCTCTATAAAGTATAATTGGTGATAAAAAAACACACATGGTATCATTACTTTTCATGCAAAGTGAGGACTGACGGAACCATATGCAATTGTGTTTATAGCCATCTTGTGATAGCGGATATATTAGTAATTCCTCCAGCTGTTCGAGAAGAAAAGCCGTTTTTAAGGATGATTTAAAGGGACCATAGTAATCATACGTGTATTGTAGTGAATGTAGAACCTATCACTCTCTCCGTTGCTAACGTCTGTCTATTCTTTATTTTCAGAACCGTATCACAAACACGACAGTGTCTGGTAACTTGGATACTCCTGAGGGCGGGTTTGACGCTTTGATGCAGATTGCTGTTTGTGGGGTATGATACCAAGACTACTACTCATTATCAATACCAATGTCATTTATATTCAAACATGACTTTCATCCAACCAACCAACCTAAGATAATTTCAGTAGTCGTTTTCCAACATTTTTTTTTATGTGCGAAAATAACAATTGGTCATGTTATCAGAACACGATTTCTTAGGCACTATAATAAGATGTTGACTTTGCCCTTAAGTCGAGTTCTTGAAAGTCGTTGTGATCATAATTTGTGCCATGTTGTATGCACATTGCTGTTCATGGGGATAGCATCCAAAGACTACAACTCATACCGATGTCATTTACATGCAATAAATGTCAGCAACTAATCTCCTGGTAGTAATTGATATAGCTTTTTATGAATTGTCACTTAAACGCACAGATATGAATCGTCATTTTATTATTCTTGTTAATGGCCAAAACTCTGGTTACAAAATCATCTCTTTTCCCCTTTTATATCTGATTTGCAAGATCATTTTCATTTTCTACGCAAATGGAAACAAATTATCGACAACATATCATTGTCAGGCACGCTATAGAGACCTCGCCTGTCTCACCGTATTCCTTTCCCTCCAGATCATGTTGCAATGCACATTCAAGCAATCAAATATTCACAAAGGTTTTTAGCTAGCCTTGATATCTGTGTTAAATATGGCGCAAAAATCTTCCTGTTTAAACGCCGGGACAGTGAGATGCTGTCAACATCCCGTTTCCATGCCAACGACTACGTCAATTATACACCAGATACATGTCACATTGTCGGTGGTGAGAAGAAGACCGGGGAATTGGATGATGACTTTTGTGTCAAATTCGCTCACGGAGGATTCGCCGATCTCCATGGAAACCAAAGTGGTATTTTTTGTATGAAGATGATTATCGTGAGGGTATGCATTTTTCATGACACCTGTCAGCTCGGTGCGGAGAAAGTGTGTCAAGTCATTTTCTCCTAGTAACAAGAAATGTGTGACACGCTATTTCTATTTGCCTCGCTTTTTCCATTTTTCATTTTCGCTTTATATCCTTGTCTACTCCTCTCTCTCTCTCTATCTCTCTCTATCTCTCTCTCTCTCTCTCTCTCTCTCTCTCTCTCTCTCGGTCTTTATTTAAATGCTGGGTCATTACTGCTTCTTCATTACACTGTATATAACTAAAATTATCAATTCTAACTTATCATCTCTCCATCTCTTCTCTTCTTCATTAGTAATTTTGTATCTTTTTTAAAAATCCATTCCCTCAACATTCTCTGTATACGTAAGAACATGTATTTTTATTATTTATATGAATATCCATTTATATATATCAGTCTGTCCGCCTGACACACTTTATGGCTGTTCGTCTTTTCGTTGTCGATAATTATAGTTATCGATTTAAAAAGTGTCAATACATCAGTATCGGTCAAACATTCTGCCTCCCCCATTTTTATTGTGTACACCTATTCAATCATGTTTTAATTGACTCAACTTCAGTGTTGTATATTAAAATGGAAAGAAAGTCAGAGATTATAATGATATTTGAAATATTTAACAATATATTGATCCTTGGTTTGACAGGAGGTCATCGGTTGGAGACCCAAAGCTCGCCATCTGGTCATCTTTACAACAGACGCTTCATTTCATTTCGCGGGAGACGGAAGAGTAAGTTGAATAGAACTAGAAACATGTATTAAAGTTGTGTGATATGGTTGCAAAATTAGAAATACACATTATGTTGAAGATAATGACAATTATAAGAAGCTCATTAGGATATTATTCATTAGATAAGATGATGAATACAGAACAGATAAATAAACAAGCGTTTTGATGACTCCTTGTGTTTCACTAAAGTTATGTTAACATACAAATTTGGAAAATGATTTAATAATCCCTCTTGCGCTCCATCTCTTTCTCTCTCTCTCTCTCTCTCTCTCTCTTCTCTCTCTCTCTCTCTCTCTCTCTCTCTCTCTATCTCTGTCTCTCTATATATCACTCTCTCTCTATCTGTCTCTCTGTCTGGCTCTCTTTATCTATATCTCTATCTATCTCACTCTCTCTTACGCCATTTACTCCACCCTCTCGCCCTTTGCCTTTCTCGTTATGTTTATCTCTCTCATTCTCTGGTTCTCTCTCTCTCTCTCTCTCTCTCTCTCTCTCTCTCTCTCTCTCTCTCTCTATCTCTTATCAGCTTGGAGGCATTGTGGAACCCAATGACGGTCAGTGTCACATGGATCCTAACACAAACATGTACGACTTTAGTACCCTGCAGGTAAGTTTTTTTAAAATCTTTTAAAGAGTCTTTTCAAGTAAGTTGGTTTGTTGGTTTGTTTGTTTTACCTTACTGTATTACCCGACCGACCTCTTTAACTCTCCTCAGAGGGACTTGGTAATGAGGATTAATGCCTTTACCACAGGTCACTAGCGCATCGATTTGGATTCGATCCCAGTAATCACACAGCTTTCCTAAAACAACACGGGCCTAGTTATAGTACATCCTTTGGAACTGAGCTAGCCAGTCTAGTTAATTATAAACTTCAGTAAAGCCTTTGATATTATAACGGCCTTATATACGGCTTGTTAAATATCGATCATCATGGTATCAGAGGAAACATGAAAAGTTGGATAAATGGTGTGTTTTTTAACAAAACGCCAACATAATTATATTTCTTCTCGATGGATAAACATCGTCTACCATTCCAGCGACTTCTGGGATCCCCAGGGCACTGTACTCGGTCCTCTCCTATTTGACTTTATTTATTAAATCAAAATACATCTTTGCAGTGATGGTGATGATAATGATGGTGATGACGATGTTGATGATGATGACGATGATGTTAATAATGATTACGATTATTTGTAACCTACCAGCTAACCTGTTTTATTTTCATAATTCTCAGGATTATCCCTCTATCGGTCATCTCAGCGCCAAGCTACGAGAAAACAACGTCATTCCTATTTTCGCTGTTACCAGGGACCAAACGCCCCTGTACATGGTCAGTGTACTGTCTCAAATTGATTGTAAAGTAGCAGCACACAATGAAACTTAACCCTATTTAGCCCGGGCTATTTTGGAACTGCATAGCCCGGGGGGGGGGGGGGGGCTTCTCAGGCCCCCCCCCCCTATGATCTCGGCCGTGAAACGACCGATCGCCGCGAAAATTTGCATACATGTCAAGTGAAGTGTATAGGTTACTATGGTAATTTCAATTTTTTGAAAAATTCACTCATTTGCATATTTATGGTAATTTATGCAAATAAGGTCATCAAATTCACATTTTTGCCCATAAATCAGACATTATTCATATTTAAGCATTCTTTCTCACTACATATATTTGTTAGACCATTTGGAATAATAATACAACACAAAAAATTGAAAAACCAGGGTTATTCTTTATGTTATCTATTGTTTTGATAATTTCTTATGTATTTCTTTGTTTTTTTAACTCATGTATTTTTATTGTTTTTGTTGTTTTATTTCATTTCCAACTATAATTCAACTATTTTGACCCCAAAATAAACACCTTAACTATAAACAAGACCAAATAACCAATGTTTTATCTCTTTATTTGAAAAAATGAGATTTCCATATGTTTTGTACACAAATCACAAAAATGAGCGATTTTCTGGCTGACATGCAAAGACAAAAGGTCATGTGACTTTGTAATGGTAGGTCTGATTTTCGAAAAATTTCTTTCAAAAGATGCGCAAGACTCGAAAGAAAAAAGTCACAAAATTTCAGTGCAAGATTTTCTTGCGTTAAAAAATTATCGCGAAAAATGTCGAGGGGGGGGGGCTTCTCAAGCCCCCCCCCCCCCCCCCCCCGGGCTAAATAGGGTTAACAGAAATAGTAATGGAGTAGGTTGAAGGGATGAATGCCTTTTTTGATAATTTTAACGATTAAGTGGAATCTTGTATAGCGCTCGATATTAAGTCAATTTTAAGACAATGAAATGAATTTATTTCAATACGCATTTTACGTTATCATAAAGACGAAAGAAATACGACGAATGAATTATACACTTTTTGTCTATCTGGTTGTTATGTTTTCTACATGTAAAATTTATTTTTAGATAATGTAATAAATGTTAATCAATCGTCGGTAGAATCCTGAGTTATGTGCATAATTGTCAACTAAATGTATGCAAATTGTAAATATTCATTTCAAATATTATCTTACCTTATGTGAGCGTTTGTTATTTATCTTTAAGTTACCTTTTGTTTCAAAATGCAAAACAATGATTAAAGTCAAATCATCGATTTAATCATGCAATTTTAATAATATTTTTTTTTTTTTACAGAGTCTGGAGAATTACATCGAGGGAGCGACAGTCGGGACGCTTGACGAAGACTCTGGAAACGTCGTGCAGCTCATTCGTTCAAATTATGACGTTAGTGAGGCCCAATTAACTAGTCATTTTATGGAGAAAAAAGGGGAAAGTAAAGGCTATATTCCCATGCAGGTTCTTGATACAAACTATGACGTAAGGTTTAGATAACTCGTCTGTTATGACGGTTATAGATGATGAAAAAGGGAAATTACATACTTTCTGCACAGGTTCTTCCCACTTTATGATGATTAGGCCCAGTAGTTGAACATATCGGTCGTTTTCATTATTTTGATGTACTTGATGCAAGTAGCAATCGTTTATACTAGAAAACAAAACTTGCTTTGACGTGATATGCACAACATTATTGAAGACTGTTCATGTACTATTTATGGTAATCAATTCCTAACCTACCTTTACCCATGCTTTACCTAATAATTGCATGTCCGACATAGCCCATGTAACTTTCAACCTTGCGACAAGTTCATTAAATCTTCATCACATTATAATTATGAAGAGTATTTTAGATATTGATTTGAATTTATTTTTTATAAAGTATGTGTGACAGGTGGAATCTGTAAGTTGTGGGGGAGGGGTGGGCTTTAGATGTCTTTAAAAATAATTATCAATCATCATTTTTTTTTTGGTTACACTTTCAGCGAATCACATCGCAAGTCCGACTAACGTCAACAGCCCCCGATGACGTCACACTCTCCTACCGAGCGAACTGTAAAGACCAGACATACGAAGACACGAACGAGTGTTCGGGACTGAGTCTAGGGGACACAGTATCCTTTGATATCACCCTCACGGCCGAGAGGTGTGTCGAAGGCGGCATGACGAGGTAAACGTCGTTCAGATATTATGACGGCAAAACCGCTGCCTTTGTTTAAAGTATTAAAAGTGTAATACGCTTAAAATTAAAGCCCCACCGCACTAGTTTGGCAAGGAGGGATTAGACTTCCATGCATGGTCACTGACAGGTGGTTATCTCATCAAATAAACTCTCAATTAACATAAGAAAAAGAGGATCATGGGGATCGACCAATAGTTACCGATTAGGCATTGTTTGCTATATAGAGGGCGCAAGTAGCTATTATTAGTAATTAGGGCTTTAATGTATGTTAGATAGATTAACCACACAGCTCAGAGATCTTTGTTGTGCGCAGTTGCCATTCATTTGCAATGACAAAGCCGCGGTGCTTTTTGCGATAACTGAACGAGCCTTTAATGTGCAGACGACACTAGTAATCAGGAAAAGAGATCAAATTGTATCGGTTAATACAGATTATCGCAAAAAAATATGCACATATTCTATAGCAGGAGCGGCGATCCCGGGGGGGGGGGGGGGGGGACGGGGGGGGACACCGACCCCCCCCCCCCCCCCCCCCCTCAATTTTTTTAGGGGGGGATCGTCCCCCCCCCTCAAAATTTGAAAAAGTGCAAAAAAAAAGTGTATAGCAAATACTGACTAAAGACTGCAACAAACTTTAAGACTCTGGACGGCACTGGACGGCACGTGAGTGCAGCGTTTAGACGAATAAAAGTGCATAAATCTTCTCGCTACGCTCCCTCGCATAATATTCTTCAAACAAGTAAATAATTGTAGAAAAGTGAGTGTGAAAAAGGTATATTGCTTGTTTTTATACTATTGTTTTGCTAAGGAATGTTATTTGTTAATACAACAAAACTTCAAAAACCTGTAAGGGGGTAGTCACTTCCATTACCTTCACCCCTCTCGTTCACTATGCTCCCTCGCACTGGCGTAATGATGGGGGGGGGGGGGGGGGGGGGTTGGTGGCAGTTTCCCTCCTAATAACATTCAAACGTGGTTTATTTCTAATTTGATACCAGTGATTTACAAATGATGCTGAAATGGCATGGTTTTTCCCTGAGCTTCCGGGGGCTCTGCCCCCTGTACCCCACCAAAGGCACTAAGACGGGCCCCTGGTTGCTCATCTGACCGTAATTAAATGTCTAAAACCCCTGAGCTTCCGGGGGCTCCGCCCCCTGAGAAGTAACAAGGGCCCCTAAAGCGGACCCCTAGATGCTCATCTGACCGTTATAAAATACCTCAAACCCCTGAGCTTCATGGGGCTACGCCCCTGGACCCTACGCCAATTTACACTCCACTCGCTTCGTTCGCTTTGCTCTACCTGATCGAAAATACTTTAGCCCACCCCCCCCCCCTACTTTGAAAAACGTTCCGCGGGGCCTGCATGTACCATGTAAGAGTGGGGGTGCAGATTTTTTTTTCTTCCCCCCCCCCCTAAAAAAAAAGAAGGTTTTTGCTCATTACGCCACTGCTCCCCCGTCCCTCGGATTTCGTCCCCCCGGTCATCAAGAGAAATCGCCGCCCCTGTTCTTTAGGGAGTGTATCAAACTATGAGAGGGCTGGGTATTTTAGGGGGAAAAGAAAAATGTCTTGAAATGTCATGGGGAAAACGCAATTATTATTTCTTGCTAAATTCAAAGTCAGCCTACAAGATTTTAAAGCATTTCAAAATAACTAGTTAAGGGGTGACATGAGTGCTACTAAGCAATTACATGTGATATTTTTTCTTTCCTTTCCATATAATCAGTTTCAACATTGGACCAGTAGGATTCAATGAAGAACTTCAGATTGAGCTAGAAGTGACGTGTGAATGCGATTGTCAGGGATTAGAGGTAAGTAAAGGCTACTGTGAAACATTCATCCACTGCATTCACACCTCTTCCCCCCCCCTCCCCTTTCGCAATGGAAGTTGAGTTCTGGTAGGAAAAAAAATGGAAAACAGTTTAATATGGTTCTCTTTCTTTTTAGTTTTGAAGAATATAAAAGAAAGATCCTCTGAAAAGGACTGATTTTTCAAATATTCCTTTTTGTTTGCAACAAAAGTTGCGTTTTGGTGAAGGTGAAGAAAAAAACTTTATTGGCTTTTATTTCATTTTTGTTTAAGCTTGGAATAATATTATAACAGAAAAATCCCCTGAAAATCAAAAATGATTGCTTTGCAAATCCCCTCGTATTCAAAATATGTCGAGAAATAGCTGAAGAGTTTAGCCCACAGATAATGACACATATAGGCCTATATGTAGTCCCTCATATCCATATTTATGTGCAAGCTAGTCCAATTTAAAAAAAATATTTTGATGATTCCAAAGCTACATAGTGTGCATCAATAATCATGTCTTGCATGATCAACCTTTCCCATTTTTTTCCAGACAGTTCAGAAGTAAGCAACAATATCGAAAACGTGTATTATGTTTAGAATGTGAACAGGACCACAATTTACATACATTTTCTTATTGACATCACTTGTCCTTTCACATTTGATAGGAAGCTAACAGCACTGTTTGCAGCAGTGGTAACGGGACGTTGGTGTGTGGTGAGTGTGATTGCAACCCTGGACGGTACGGAGTCAAGTGTGAATGCAGCGGTAATGAAATCAACATGGAGAGCACGGATCCATCCCCATGCAGAACGTTAGTATTATCTATGGTACCCCCAAGTAGCAAATTTCAAGTGAAATCAATGAAATGAAACCATTCATAAAATTATGGGTTCAAATTGAACAATTTTTCTTCTTCCATTGGGAAACACTGATAATGTAATTTTATTGCTACAATGTTATATTCAAAGATCATGCATATGAACGTAATGTACATGGATCAAGAGAAAGGGAGAGAGACAGAGAGAGACAGAGACGAGAGGGGGGGGGGACAAGAAAAAAAATCAAACAATAATTCTGAAAGGTCTATAGCTCACTGTATGTTTTTGATTAATATATTTAAAAAAAGAAATTGTCGGGTGAGGAGGCATGTTTTAACATAGTTACTTTGAAATGGTCCAGAGTTTATTATTGTAATTATTGTTATTATTATCATTATTGTTATATTTATTGTGATAATCATTATCATCATTATTATAATTATCATTATTATCCAGGGACAACACAACACGAACTTGTTCTGGACGTGGAGAATGCATCTGTGGGAAATGTGTCTGTGACAACACTGGGGTAAGCTATAAAAACCATACTCTTTTAATGTATCTTAGATATCAATATGATGCATAAATGGAAAGTTAAGATCATTATAATCATAATCATATCTAAGACATTGGATTATAATCGACTTATAGATGTTGGATTATCACGATTTAAATTAGTTTATTGTAGCTTGATCTTACATTGATAAAATGTCCGAGTGATTATTGTAAAATGTTTCATATGCCTGATTTTGCATTTTACTGCTCTCTGTTCTTGATATTGTATTATCATTTTATTTAATGTCTTTATTTTTTACTACGCATGTAAATAAGTTTCCATTTGTGATTTGTGGATAATAATTACTGTAATGAACAATTGGATTAAATGGCAAATGGCATAATGCAGTAACGTTATTATGTATTTTCTGCAGATTCTCAGACCCACTTCAACTTTTAACATGATACTTGGGTACCATTTTAATGAATATCTAACACTTTGTAAAAACGTGTCTGTATTGTTATCATTATTTTTAGTGTTAATATCTATGTCATTATTATTATCATTATTATTATTATTGTCATTATTAGCCATGTATTTTCATATTTTCAGAACCCTGGTGAGGTTATCTCTGGACAATTCTGTGAATGTGATAACTTCAACTGTCCCTACAGCCGAGGATTGCGTTGTGGAGGTATTTATTCCCACCTCCAATTCGCTGAAAACTTTTTTTTTAAGTTCTCAGTCGAAATTTTCCGACTTTCTTGTTGCCCTTTTAGGCAAGACCTTAACCTACATTTGACACTCTCAACCCAGGTGTAGTACGAAGGTACTCATAATTGAATTCTTTTTTCAGGGTATCATGGTAGCTAGGCTGAAAGCTAGGTTAAATTGTCTCAGGGCACCTTGAAAATCTCCTGGGATTGAAGAAATACAAGCTATTATTATTATTATTATTATTATAATTATTATTATTATTAACTAATGTGTTATTATTGTTTAAAGCATTTTGTATTTAAAAAAAAATGTATTTCATGTTTGATTGATCCTTTCCATTTTAAATTAAACATCACAAAGTATCAACATAGAATATGCTGTATTTTGTTTTTTAGCACTACTAGAACCAACACTTTTTCTTTAAAAAAACACACATTAAATTTTTGTTTTGTTCGTAGGGCCTGACCAAGGAATGTGTGTCTGTGACGTAGCTACAAGACAACCTAAGTGCCAATGCAACCCCGGCTTCGAGGGCGATAGTTGTGATTGCCCAACACGAAAAGACATGTGTCGGGCCAGCAATGGAGTAAGTCATCATTTATCGTAGATGGAAGGTTATTCGTTTTAATTATGTATTGATTGTTAGATAGAGCGATCCCTGTAATATTTGAACTGATACTTGGATATTTGAACAATTCAGGACGTGTTATGTGATTTAGTAATTATCCAATATATAGATGGATGAATTCAATAACCCACCTAATTATCCTTCATCAGATCAATCACCAACCAGCCCAACAATTGTTCATACGATTAAGTAATTCATAAACTAAATATTTTGTTAATACCCAAGGATCATTTTGAATTCAAATTGATATCAATGCTGTATCTTTGGTTATATCACTGAGGTATCTCTAACTTGACTATTGTTACATAATGGTATTACTGTGGTATCACTTTCATTTCACTGTGATTTTGCAATGGTTTCACTGTGGTTTCAGCATGATATTAGGCATCAATGAGGTATCACTGTGGTACCACTGTGGTATCACCAAGGTTTCACTGTGGTATTACTGTGGTATCACTGTGGTATCAATGTGGTGCCACTATGGTATCATTGTGGCGTCCCTGTATTATCACTGTGGTATCACTGAGATATCAGTGTGGTTCACTGAGATATCAGTGTGGTATCAATGAGATATCACTGTGGCATCACTGAGATATCACTGTGGTATCACTGGAATCACTGTGGTATCACTATGTTATCACTGAGGTATCACTATGGTATCGATGTGGGGCCACTATGGTATTATTGTGGCGTCTCTGTGGTAACACTGTGGTATCACTGTAGTATCAGTGCGGTTCACTGAGATACCACTGTGGTATCACTGGTACCACAGTGGTATCATTGTGGTATCACTATGGTATCACTGAGGTTTCACTGTGGTATCACTGGTATCACTTGAATCACTGTGGTATCACTGAGATGTCATTGTGGTTTACTGTGGTATTGCGGTGGTTTTTACTGTGGTATCACTATGGTATCATTATGGTATCAGTGTTACATCACTATAGTATCACTGGGGTAACACTGTAGTATCAGTATGGTATCACTGGGTGTTTTACTATGGTATCACTCTGGTGTAACTGTGGCATGACTGAGTTATCACTATGGTGCCATTGTGGCATCACTGTTGTTACACTGAGGTATCACTGAGGTTTTATATTGTGATGAAAATTTCCTCAATAACATTCTCTTCTTTCATTACAGTTGGAATGTAACGCGCACGGAACCTGTGTGTGCGGTGCCTGCGAGTGTTTTGCGGACTCACAGTTCCAGGGAAAAACGTGTGAGAAATGCCCTGTAAGTTTGTGTTGATAAATGTTGTTGCTAAGTCCTATTAGATATGAATAGAATGCATGGGGACATAACTTTTCTATTAAATAGGCAAGATCTGAAAGCAAACATCTGGAATTATGCCATGGTTACCTTCTTTTGTAATAATGACGATAATGTTATAATGGTACTTATATTAGTTGAATAAAATACTCGTTAAATTACTACTGAACTGAGCTCCAAAATGAGCTTCGAGTGTCGATAGAGATTTATGGTGTAAAACGATACGATATATCTTCAATTTCTTTTCACATAGAACATTTTAAGCCATCTTTCAATGTATCTTTGATAGAAATATCAATGCTTAAAGAGTTTAAGCGATTCAATAAAATTATATCATTTTGTATTGAACTAAGTATGATTTGAAAGCTTTTTCTTGAATACGAAAGTAAATCTTACATTTTGAATAAAACTTACTTTTTGTTCCCTCATGACAGACATGTGCATTTGGAATTTGTCACATACACCGAGATTGTGTCGAGTGTACAGTGTTTGGAACAGGCAGGCTAACACCCGAACAGTGCGATATGTGCACAGTCAACATAATCAATGTTACAAGTATTGACGAGTGTAAGTAACTATGATGAGTGCTGATTAGTTAATGCATGCGTGTAGTGTAAGAGTTAATTTGTTTGTATATGACACGTTACCACGTGAAAGTGCAGCATGCGTAGTACAAGTATAATCGACATACCCAATGTTTAAGATGTATGATAACAATTGGGTTTCCTTTTTGCCCAGTAGATTATTAGTCAATTATAAAATTGTAAAATGATTGCAGATCAGTTCTGCATCATTAATTCTTTTTTTCGCTAAAGAACTATTTACATGTATCAAATATTATTTATCTCTTATTTATATTTGTCATTACAGATACGGAAGACAACCCCAAATGTAACTTTCCACTGAGCGACGACTGCACTTTTCAGTTTGTTGTTGTCTCGGAGAACGAAACAGTCACTGTATATGTTGAGGGGGCACAAAGTAAGTACATACACTGTACACATGTATAAAGTGTCAAAAAATAGAAGTTATAAGTTAATACAAGAGATAGTTAAGTTCCAAGAGACAGAGGAGTGACAGGTGGAGAGACATATATAGAGAGATGAAAGAGAGAGAGTGAGTGAGATAGAGAGAGAGAGAGAGAGAGAGAGAGAGAGAGAGAGAGAGAGAAAGGGACAGAGAGGGTGAGAGAAAGGGAGAGAGAGTGGGATGAAGACAGAAATATACAGACAGACAGAGATTGAGAGTAGGAAAGGAGCGATTTGAAGTAGGGAGAAAATGTGGGTTTGTGTGCATGTTTGTGTGCGTGCGTGCTTGAGCTTGAGCTTGAGCTTGAGAGAGAGAGAAAAGGAAAGAGTAAGGGAGAGAGAGATAGAGAGAGTGGAGGGGGGAGTACCAGTTGATCCATGCACTGTCCCATGCAGGGGCGTACGCAGGATTTTTTCAGGGGGGGGGGGGTTTTAAAATCGGGCCCAAAATATTTTGCTCCCGAAAAATTTAAAATCTCGCCGGCCGAAAGGTCGTTCAGTGGGGGGGGGGGGGGGGGGGGGGGGGGGGGGGGGGGGGGGGGGGGGGGGGTAAGCGGACACTTTTTTTTGTTTTGGTCTCGAAATTTGAAAATTTGACATTTTTCTTCGTTGGGGGGGGGGGGTAAGGTCACCTTTTTTAGGTTAGCCGTGGGCATATTTTTTTTATTTTATTTTTTTTTTAAATAATAATTTAAAAAAAAAATTAAAAAAATCCAAGGGGGGGGGAGGGGGGGGGGGGGGTTCTGGGTTTTTTAGGGGGGTTTACACACAAAAAAAATACCTAAGGGGGGGTTTGAACCCCCAAAACCCCCCCTACGTACGCCCCTGGTCCCATGTACCATATCCCTTCATTTGATTTACAAAAACCCTCATCTTCATCCTCATCGAACAGCATGCATCGAACCGGTGGGCAAGCCAACGCTGTCGGTGGAAGAAATCAGATGGATCGTCATCGGAATCATCCTCGGCATCGTGCTGATCGGGATGATCCTGGTCTGCGCCTGGAGGTTATACACCTACGTCCAGGATAAGAGAGAGTATGCACAGTGGGAGAACGACTGCAAGAAAGCCCAATGGGATCAGGTAAGGCTCGAATCCTTGTCCCTCTTTGCTTTATCGCCCCACTGCACTTCTTATAGCTACTTGCGCCCTCTATATAACAAACAATGCCTAATCGGTGACCGTTGGTCCCTCATGATCCCCCTTTTCTTATGTTAATTGAGAGCTGATTTGATGAGATAACCACCTGTCAATGACCTTGCAGGGAGGTCTAATCCCCCTGGCCAAACTAGTACAGACGGGCTTTAAGCCATTAGCGCACAAAACGTGATTTGCTGGCGAAGGACTACGCAGTCTTTGACTCGTCTTATATTTAATCCCTGATAAACATGATAAACATAAGTGCCATTTGCCTGACGCATACGACTGCGTCAACGATGCCATAGTCTATAAAACCTCATTTCTTGGCTGTGGAATGTGAAAGGGCCATTTTAGATGTTAACTTTGGACTGCGGCAGCGACCAGCGCGGTCTTTTTCACGTCATGTAACGCCCGTCACACACCAGGTGACACATTCACTGATTTCGGACTGGGTAGGCAACTACAACTGGTGCGTTCCTTAACAAAATGTTATGGCTATATTGAGCATTAATACAAATTTTGCTGACTTGGGACTGTGTCATGGACTAGCGCAATCTTTGACACGTGATGGGGTGCTCGTGTTCCCCTAAATAACTCTCCATTGTACTAATATCATTTGGCAAGACATTATGCTACATTTGCCACACTCGACCCAGGTGATTTTAATGGGTACCTTGCAGGAATTAATTCCTTGAAATTTTAGAGTGCCATAATGGCAGCCACACTGAAGCCGGAGTATTAATAATTTGTGCAGAGCCAGGAGTGTCTAGTCTGACAGACATGAGCGCTATATATAAGAACCCACTATTATTATTTTTATTGATATTATTATAACGATTATTATTATTATTGTCTTTATCTCTCTCACATTCGTGTTGGACGAAGGCGAAGTGTAGTAGATATACAGAAGCCTTCTCATACAATTCTTCTCAAAAGTATTGATGCGTTTTTCCATCTCTGCATTCTGTGTCTTTTTTTTTCACCACCATATAGAAAGACTTTAACCCATTCTCTCAACAGGCTCAGTCTAGCTGTCAGTGTGATGTTCCTATCATTCCAAAATGGTTTCAGACGTGCAAGAGCAGATGCGGCAAAAGCAATTCTGGTTTTGACTTCCAGAGCAGATTTAGCATCATCTGTGATAGTCTGTTGACCCTTCATATTTGAATTGATCAACGGTTGCAAGTTCTCTTCCAATTTTAATTGTTGTATGTGAATGAATGAATGTATAACCTCACTGTGTTACCCGCCACGGTGCAACACATTGAGATACCCCATCTTTTATATTTTCTTCCTTTGTATCTTCCAGAGTGATAATCCCATCTACAAGTCATCAACGACGACATTCAAGAATCCAACATATGGCAAATAACGTACACTCCTATGTCTGCAATGGGATACCAATCTCCTTATTTATATTACTGGCTATAAAGAAGATAGCGTACTCGCACTGTACACGGGTATCAAACAAGACATCTGCTATTACTGAACTATTTTCTTGTTTATTTTGTCCTTATCTTACAGAAAGAGAATCCTCTATTCAAATCCTCATCTACCAGGTTTGAAAACCCAATGTTTGGGCATTAATAAACTTGTTGCTTGGGGGAAAGTGATTTAAAATGCTTATGGCATAACATGATATAAATCTATGAGTATAATGATTTTAACATTTCTCATGTCTCTGTTTCTGCATATCTTACTTTTCAGCGTACCAATGATATCTATCTTACTCCGATATCTCGTGTTGATAACCCGCTGCATGCAGATAATCAGAAATAATTATATTTCTGCTTTCTGGAATTATGCGTATTTTACTTGGTTTCTATGGTAAATATTTCCAGTTCTTGCTTTGCAAGCTCCTCTTAAGCACAGGCACACTCAGGCACAGTCAAGTTCTCACTTTGATTTATTTTATGAGTCACTCTGTACTGCAATACATAAAATTTAACCAGTGAAATGTGTAACTTAAGTATCTCTTTTATTAAAAAAGCAGCAACTGTTATCTCGTGTTTTAAGGTGAAATTCTTTTTATTTTTGACGGGCGCAAAAGCTTCTTCTATCGGTGGATGTTCCTTCACTTTTCAGTGCTAAAGTTTCTTGTATTTGGAGATTAAATCTCTAAAAATATGTTCTAACAACGAACGAATGTGACCAGTGACAAAAAGAAATGACAAAGTTGGTTTGAAACAGAAGTATCTTTTTGTATGTGTACCGTTCCGCAATTGACAACAACATGTAGTGTGTAAACTGTTTACCTTTCAAGTGGAGCTGGAGTTTACAGATCATAAGTTTATCTGTCTGTGTGCTTTGTGCAAAATATTGCAGATACATTCAGTCATTTTATGTAATTGTGAAAGGTCAATTGTCACTATTCATTTATTCACATTGGTGCAAATCTAACGCTTTTCTGCATACAATCAAATTATCAAAACAATAACTAACATGGTGTGTGGATGCATTAACAAGGTGTTGGTATATCTATTTAGAATCCATAACATTGTGTTAAAGTGATACTGCTAAATACAAACAATTTCAACTAGTTTATGAGTTGAAGGCTAGGTGTATAATTGGTATGACACAAGATCTCACTATGCAAAACTTCTCACCTAAACCCAATACCATAAATTTGTGTTTGTGTTACCTCTTTGTTATTAACCCTCTTAGGACTCTGAATCAGAAGTTATAGAGCAAAACAAAAATGGAGAATACTTGTCTTGAAAGGGTTAATAACATGGAAGGTAGAGGTTCATTTACTGCACACTTAGAAGAGGCTTTGATATCGAATAATATGTTATAACGATCCTCGGCTGAACCGTAATTATATTCTTTCTCGACGTGATCAGCGAAATTATGTAGATCTTGAAGGAAAATAGTTAGGGCTTAAAAAAATCCAGTTTTTGTGCATAAGACATCCCACTTTGTAAACCATGTCACAACATTTTAAATCAATTCGATAATTGGATGTACATCCTTCAAAATAATATGAATTTGGTAATTGGATATAAATTCTCGGAGATATCTGTAACACACACACTAGTGCTTTTGATTACACATGCCACCAAATTGCTAAATTCATATCATATTGAAGGATGTACATCCAATTTTCGAATTAATCTAACATTTTGTGTCATGGTTTAAAAAGAGGGATGTCTTATGAACAAAACTTATAATTTAAGTTAATAAATGATGACATTCACTCCTCATAAATATAACACATGAAATGTTAGTAGAAACTATCACTATCACTCTCGCACACACATAGTTCTTCTGATTCATGTCACTAGTATTGATTGGAAGATACGATTCCAAGGTCATGCAAAAAAGAATGTCTCACATTAAATTAAGAAGACTTTGCATAGTTACATTTTTCGTTTAGCACGAAACTGACAACTGAAGTTATACCGATAGTTCCATACACCGTAGAATCATTCACAATTCACAAATTGATCTCATTCTAAAAACTTGCATTCACCTAGTGTACGTTGTCATGGTAATATTTCTAAGGCTGCAGTGTATCAAATGCTCGCGTTTGAGTGAAGCTATAAAGATTTTAGTCATACACAATCAAATTGTCGTGCCTTTTATACCTTTTACATTGTTGTAATTTATAATTGTAATGCAACGTTTGTAATCATGTTTGTACAAAAGTAGGTTTTCGTGTAGTGTAAACGTAATAGTCGGGATAAGAAATTGCAACGATGGTAAAACTTTTTTCTGTGTAATGTTAAACATGCTACGACACCTTTTGGTGACTTTATTATCGTTAAATAATGTTTTTTAAAAAACCTTTTTATTTTGTGTGTGGGGGGGGGGTTAAAACATACGTTAAGCGTACGTTATTATGTGTTTTTGTTATGTCTTAGGGTAATTGTGAATATATTAGCGACAATATTAAAAACATTATCTGAACAGTAAAAGTCCAAACGTGACGATAATATTATCGAGATGTATGCTTATATATCAAATGCTAAAAGTTTCTTGTATATAGTCTAAACCATCATATTGATCTTATATCTGCTGTGATTGTTTTAATTTTTGTCCGAGGGGCCATGAGAAATGAAATTAGGTATATATAGCTTGAGCGGGATCTTTCGTATTTTTATATTAATATATGAAATTGGCGGCTGAATGGCAATTGCTGTAATTGTGTAGATAAAGTTGAATAATTATTATTGAATTGTATTTTTTCAATTAGTGTATTACGACGTGGTAGTTAACGCGTTAAGATCGTAGAGTTCTAAGGGAAAACATTGTTAATTGGAACAAAAAAAGTACTATTCGTAGATTTTACGAGTTCAAAGAATGATTATTGTATTATGCGTGATTGATGTATGGTTGTATGTTCATGAGGAATATACAAAAAAAAAAGAAGCAGAATAAACTGATTATGGCATAGTTGTGGTGTTTAAGAAGATATACCGCAATGTTTCTGTTATTGTTCGAGTTCGAACACGCCATGTGTTCTAAAATAAATTCGCATTGATCACTATTATGGTGCGTGTAAATAAGAAAACAGATTGGCCGTTATGATATCATGTTTATGTGCACATACTTTGTTTTATTGATGTCCTTGGCAAAACACATGTCATCAATATATTGTTTGTAGCTGAATCCATTTCCTAATGTGGCTGAATTTCACTACATTGTTACTCCTGAAATCGGTGGGGGAAAAACGTTCCGAAGGGGAAGGAGATCAAAGTGCGTACAATGATCAGAAATTGATCATAATAAACGCTTGTGATAATTTTTCTTTTGAGGGTTAACTTTTGATCTTGATAAAAGAATCTTCACCTCCGAAGTTCTTCAGGTCTTCAGGTACAGCGTTCGTTAGTGATGTGACCTGGGTTGACCTTTCTGACGTCATGACCAATCACCCGGTCACAGAGATCCAAAGTTCTGACTCTCAAACATACCTTTAACCGGACAGATGAACTTCCATGGAAGTGCTAATTTTTCATTATTATGTTAAAATTTTTAATTGAGCACGGTTACGATGCCAGGCACACATTGCCCCATGTGATACCAATACGAAGAACAGAATCTGGATTGTCGTGGTTTGAGGCCAAGATGGGAGTACCATTTATTCACTTCAAAAAGAGCGAACAATCGCCAGTATCACATCACAAGTATCTTTGATCTAATTATGCAACGACATCCAATTTATATCGCGACGCTACTAAAACGCTAAAATGTGAATTTTGTGGCTGAAAGACACTTTTGTTAAATAAGAGTAACATTTTGAGGCTATCCATTATCTTTAAGCATCAATTTTATATCTATCTAAGAGTAGGTTGGGTCCTGGTAAAAACGAAGATATTTTGTGACTTTCTTTTTGTGTTAGTTTTGAAGAATATCGAATATCGAAAATGTTAACTGAGAAATTGCTTTTCAAAAGCCCTTATGTTTGAAAACTGAGGACAAATATCGTAAACATTTGGACCAAACTTTCATACGACATGAATGTGTAGTCCCATAAATACTTATTTCTGTAATGGAGAAGAGGGCGTCAAATTCCATTTAATGTTGTATGTCTTCTTATTTACAATGAGTTCTGCTACTTGCACGTACATGTATGTGTATACGGCAAATCTACGTTTTGTAATTATCACTTACCCTTTATTTTTTTCATGATTATTTTCACCCTATGTTTGTAATACTGCAAAGAAGACTACTTTCTCTGACAATATGCATACCCTACCCCCCCCCCCCCCCCCCCCCACACACACCATCTTACAAACATCTTAATTTTTTAATTTCCGACCATTTTTGTACAGGCGATAACTAAATCGAAGATCTTCCATTTTAGTCTATGTTTGTACATGCTTGTTGGATGTCATATCTGGTTCATTATTTCTTTCTTAGTTTGCTGCATTGTATATAGTTTTATATATAACTCCAAGATAAAACGATACAATGCGATTTTTAATTTAAATATTAGATTTAATCTTGAAGTGAATTTGTTTCGCCATAATCATAGGCCGATCTGTACCTTCTCAATGGTCTTAATCAACTTGTTAAACGGCAGAATTACCTTAGCCGGATTTACATATTGGTTCCGAAATGCTCTAAAATATTGGTTTCTTCAGTGGCGGTTCCAGTAAAGGAGAGGGGGAGGGGGGGGGGTGTCCTCTGTCCGCAAAACCCACTTTGGCATATCTTACGTACAACAAGTATCTCCCCCCCCCCCTCCCCCAAACAAACGAAAATGCACAAGTTTGCATTGCCAAAATGTTGTCCTAACGCGAATTCTGTGAGAACTCTGTTTTTTTTAGGGAGAACGCCCCCCCCCCCCCATCCCCTTCAAAAAGAATCCTGGATCCGCCTCTGTTTTCACTGGGTTTCAAAGACAAGCACATAAAGCTGGTATCCTCTATTTGAGAGACTTGCGATGTCTATGTGATGTATATTCTAATGATGTGGTGCATTGTGATTGCAATTATATTTTGTTTTTATATATTACGTCATTTTCTATGTTTACCATGAATTTATGTTTGTTTATTAGTGCAATTTTCTTGAACACATAATTATCTTATACTTATGACATCGTATATTATTTAATGAGCTTTTGAAAGAAGTAGAAATTCAACCGTTAGTTACATTATGCTGTACGATTAATTTAGAGTTGCATTGGTGGTGGAAATGTTATTGTATGTTTTCTGGACCCAAATATAACAAGGAATTACGTACATATTTATACGCTCTATCGCAAAGTTGCAACTTTTGTTTGCGCAGATGCCGACTTATATTTCGTTTAATAATAAAATCAACTATTCATGAACAATTATGTTTTTTTCACTTTACAAATCAAGAAATAACGAATTGGTTCTAAATAGGCCTAATCGGCATTGTGTAACCGCGTTACTTTTAAAATGATTTTAAAGTAACTTGTTTTATTTTGAGAAACGTGGGATGCCCATTAATAAAACCAATCACAATTTGTATTTTTCAACATGGCCAATGGTGGGGAGGTGGTAATTTGTTTTAATATAATAAAGGAAAGTCGATCTGTTTCCTCCAAAGAATCCTAATATGACGCCATATTCACGAGACCGGTATTTGTAACTTGGTCGAAGGGCTGTTAAAGGGACCACGTGACTTGTATCACGTGTGTAATTGATACAGCTGAGTGATGGTCTGAATGCTTTGTACCTGTGTTTAAGTTTTCTTTTGTTGCTGTAATGATAAACAGGTTGTATGAATAGATAAGGAAGTCAGTCAGGTTGACTCTTTCCTGGCTCATGTTTCCATTTTTGAGGAAATTAAAATTAGTAAAATTATGTAGGCTATTGTAGAATATTATGATGCTGATGGTTGAGGGTAACATATACTTTGTATGTATGTCACAGTCATGAACTAAATACTTGAACATTGCACCGGTGCACTTACTATGACCATATACATGTTAATATAGATTTATTAAACTGTCAACTTTTTTAATTAAGAAATGACGTGTATTTTGGTGTTTTTCATGTCGTGTTTTCTAGTGTTTGGTAGAAATGTATATGCATTTGATTATTGACGAGTAAGTGTGTGAACGGGGTGCGAGGAAGATGGGGAGAGAGAGGGGGAGAGAGAGAGAGAGAGAGAGAATGACACAGAAAGAAAGAGAGATAATAAAAAGTGAGGATGATAGTACTAACGAAAATGATAATGACGATAGAGATGATGATAATGATGATAATTATAATAATAATAATGATAATGTTAATACTGCTACTACTAATAATTACATAAGGATAATAATTGTGAGAAGAATAACAATAACAACAACAACAATAATTTTGTTTAGACAGGGAAGATTTTTCAGTATCAATGCTGTTCTTCCTCGGGGGGGGGGGGGGGGTGGGGGGCTGGAATAATTATCATCCCAGAAATTCGATCACAGGTACTCTGTACACCTGGGTAGAGAGCAACATATTTGTATAAATGCCTTGGCAAGGGATGTTAGTGCCAGGCTAGGATTAGAATGTCATGCCCATATCTTTCTCAGACCTTCTATCAATCTGAGATTAAAATAGGTAAAACAATAAAAGTGAACAAATATCATGAAACAAACCTACGATGTATCTTTCATATTTACAAATTGTGAGAAGGCAAACCCCCCCCCCCCCTCCCCCTCCCCACCCCCAACTGTACAAATATTAACACCACACTACTAGCAGCATGTCTATCTCTTACTTTACAACTTTTTTGCTGAATTGGTACCCTTTTTTTTCTTCTTCTTCATTTCATTCCTTTTAATTTCTCTCGAAAAGTTGAGACAGCTTTGAAACTAATGTGTGTACTATTCCGAAAGAGGTCGCTCTTCATAAGCGCATTATTGTTTACCTCAAGCTTTCTGTACGGCGCGTTACGTTTTTCATACAGGGATTGCTTTATCTAACTTCATTCTGTATTCACATATCCTGAATAACCTGAGAGCCGCTGGCCGATTGAGTTTGCTTACGAACGGGAGGTGGATGTGCAAAACCAAAGTCGTTACACCGTTCCGGACCGGGGAAGTTTAAGTTTTTAACGTGGAGATATCTAAAGAGATATGTAATGTGGAGTCTGAGAAAAAAATTCTTATGGCAGAGACCAGAAGAATAATTTGTCGTGTTTGTTAACTTCAGCAGATCACGCCAATTTCCTACTCCAATTAAACTCACACTCACGTTTGGTTTTAATAGCTGTTGACGTTGCACAGGTAAGTCCAGTTTTTCTTTTTCAGTGACAGGATGGGGGGGGGGGGGTGGGGGAGAGAACGTGCCCTCTCCCTTTCATGCCCCATGAAATTGAAAGTAACCATATGACTTATCATGGTAAAATACACCGAAAAGCTGTATATAGTTGTATGCGTTTGTTCTGAGAGTGAATAAGAATTTGAGGACATCTATCTATACACAGTTGGATTTCTTTTTGAAATCATTAATACATGCAATTAATCCTCAGTGTTTTAGGCCCTGAAAGTATGTACATTATTGTAAATGCAATTGACAAAATATGTTAAAAGTAATTAAATAGCATTCGTGTATAGGAAATTATGAAATAACACGAGGCCTTATGGACGGGAAGGAAGGAATCTGTTTTGATTGGCCCTATAAAATGTATATTAATGACATGTTTGTGTATATAGTTTCCTCTTGAAGCAAGGTGATAAATCGCGCGTTTAACAGTCTTGATTTCGAAGTGGAAATGATAAATGGAGATCATATAAGAGGAGATTAACACAAGATGACGATGAAGGCTAGATGAGACTGTAAAACATGAAGAAAAGATTATGTAGCACTCTGAGCTAATTAGGAGTAGTCGATAGAGCACTAGTAATCACCTTGACTAGGCTCTATTAAATGCAATCAAGCCTAGAATTAATTCTGTCATGCTTTAGCTATGCATGACAGCTCCAGTACGATTCCATGACATTTGCTCCGGCGACAATTGCTCCGCTGTAAATTTCATACACTAATCGAATGGCTAACTTCAACCCTGGATTCAACACTATACCCTACCCTAAACCTAACCCTAAACCTAACATAAAACCCTATTGAAACCCTAACCCTAACCCTACATCTTAGACGAAATAAAGCCCGGAGCAATTGTCGCAGGAGCAAATGTCGTGTCACCTTCCAGTACATAGCATTGTGGTCATAGTGGTATATTGGTAAAGACTACTGACTGCCAGACCATACGGGAGGTCCGGGGTTCGATCCTTGCTGAGTGCTTTAATTTTCTC